TTGATCCAGCGCCATTCTGTTCCATGTAATTTTACATCGCTTCATTTGACCACTTAGAAGTCAAATAAACGTGACTTTTGATGCAGCTTTAATTTGCAACTGTCGAGACACAAAAAATACTTTGTTTTAAACTGGTCGAGTAAAGTTAGCTTTGGGAGTTTTTTAGTACCAATTTGGGAATCAAAAACTTCAAAAATCAAAAAAAAATGTGAAAAAAAAATTTGAAATTTTTTACAATTTTTTATTTAGTTTTTCTATACAAAAAAGTTTTCCAATAGTGCTATAATACTGTGACTGTCGAATATGCCTATGTTCTATTTCCTGGTTCAGGTCTTTTTTTATCAAGCCACGTAAAAAAACGACACTAATTTGAATTAACTTGTTTTTGTATTTTTTAAGACTATGGTCGGACCCATTCTGTGCTACTTGCACAGTAACGGGCTATCCTTGTTTAGTTTTAGCTTTAACCTCTGTTACTTGCTTTTTTCTTGCGTGCTTTTGTTGCAAATGATAATAAGCACAAAGGGAAAGTCTCAAGATACCGGCTACATGATCAGCTCACACTGACTCTCAGGGTAGAGGAATCACTTTTTGGTCATGATATGTATACATAGCGACAAAATTGATTGATCTGCATGAGTTAATTGGGAGCTCAATAATCGTGAAAATATAAATAAAAAACACTTAACTGATTTAAAAAACTAACTTTCAGGTTTATCTCAACTTTAAGAACAGCTTGTTATTGACTTTTTTGATTAAGAAAACTAGTTTGAAAAAAAAAATGATTCAATAGGTAAAGTTTCATTTCGCTGGGAGCTCTGAAGTTCAAAGCCCACTTTCGAAACCAGAAGTCAATCATGCATTTGGCGACCTTTACATTTTTGCTGTTCAAAAAATAATTTGCCTTCCTTTTAACAAAGCAAATGAGCAGACATTTATAGCAAAAGTCAGAGCGTGAGCACATTATGAACGTGAACAAATTCTAAGACTTTTTACTGGAAAAAACAAACGAAAATAAATCATCACGACATGTACATGAGTCTTCACTAAGGTCATTGACCAATTAGCTGGATTTCAACTCGGAACAAGTTTAAGGGCGGCATGACAATTTGTGTTACAGATAAAGCCTTCAAAGTATCATGCGAGCAGACCCTCAAGCACAGGCAAGATAGTGCCTAGCAGACCCGCTTGGTAAAACGTAGATTCCAGGTTTGACGTCCACTCCATAACTTTCTTTCAGAAATTACTTTGAATAAAAAACAATTTCGAGCATATATAATCATCACTTTCCTCAATACTTGGAGCTGAAAAATCCAAATTTGGCTAGAGTAAATCTATTAACAATGCCTCAATAGTTTGCGCAAACAAAAAATATGTTTGCGAAAACAGAACCCGTAATCACAGGCTGGTACAAACATCCCGGGCCATTGCACTCAATAAAATAAAACTATACTTCAATTTAAGAGACACTTTCAATGTGCAATGGGGCTGACTTTTCAAGCGAAGATTTAATGCAACAAATAAAGTTGGTTGCTTCGCAAATAGCCAAGAATGCTCCGACCACTTTCATATACTACAAAAAAAATTTCTAATTTTTTCTTTCAAATGGGTGTTTTTTTTGTACGTGGTGTGACACAAGAATTACAGGATTGTGTATCAATACAGATTATTATGCATCATCGAAAACCGTTGTCTTATTAGCAAAAAAAACAACAATTTTTTTAAGACCATTTGTATTTTATTTCAATAACTTTTTTGAATACAGTTCGGGCAAGGAAGCACTAATCAAAGCTTACAAAATTAGTTTTCATCCTAGTTAAACTAGTTTTCTGAGCAAAATCGACCAACTACCATAAAACTAACAGTACTCGATCGCTTCACTAGCTCAAAATTAGGCAAAAACTGAAAATTTCAAACGGTTTTTCTCTTTACTGTGACAACTTTTTGATAACACTTTAATGTCGTTTCATGCACGATTGAAATTTTTTTTTTAATATAATGTATTTCAACCCATTCCGATGAGTATATGTGCTACCTGATTTTGCTTGGAAAAACTATAACACATCCGAAGACATAGGCCCTTCCCATTTTCAATCGCCGGAACCAAAACATCTAAGCTCAGTATCAGATTGACATTCGATAATTTTTTCAGCCATATTCAATTTGTTCATATTGAAAGCCATATTTTCGGCCATCGAGTGTTCCTGATCTTATTTTCATACAAGAAAAATTCAAACTTCTCGAGAAAAAATTTTCTGACGACACACCGCACTAAGTTCACAGTGATTCCAATAAAAGCTTTAAACGATGCGTTTTTTTGAGGAAAAGGTTAAAAAAACTGATGCTCCATTTGCGAAAGCCGATAGATTCTTATTGTGGTAGATACAAAAAAGCGCAATTTGGCTGAAAAAACATCCAAATTTATCACACCATAATAAACTATAATGACTAAATTGACTTCAGACACTCAATTGTTTGAAATCGCATCGCATGACTCCTAGTTTGACATAATTCTTTTTACTACCTACTCTCAATTTACAAACTCAAGGAAATTGACCTCTAAAAATAGCACTTACAGCAATTTTTGAATGAATTTACTTTTTTTTCATAAGTTTTATCTGATAAGAATCATAATTATTTGCTGTTGTTTTACAAGTCATTGAATTCTAAACTTTTATAATCTTCAATGTAAATAGTCGTTTTACCAAAAACGAACATAGCCAACTAACAGTTGAAAAAGAGTCAATGAACACAATTAAATAAAAAAAACTGAATTTCAAAAAAAATAGATACCTTTAAAAATTGATCAAAGAAACCAATGATATTTAAAAAAAAGCCAACAGAGTTGGAAAAGAGTCAATGAACGCCAGTAAACAGAAAAAATACATCTTATCATTATTTTATAAATCTCACCTTTTGAATTTCAAAGAAAAAATTAATGGCCTTAAAGCTCTTTGCATGTCTAGAACAAATTATGATTGGGCATTTTTTCGACACAATTGACCCTTTTTGAGAAAACTGGATCAATCGGCAAATTTTTCATTTGTCTGGGAAATCTGAAAATTAAATTTCATTTTCGAAAAACCAATCACGTTTTTCGTGATATTTTTTCCTTTTGCTGTTCGTCAGTGGAGCTTGCCTTCCGTTTCCTTAAGGAAACGACCTGAACTTAAGCAAAAGTCAAAAAATGCGAAAAAGTAAATTTGATCCTGAATAAATTTAGATTTTTCCTGAAAAAAACCAAAACTAAAATCATCGAGACATATATAATGGTCTGAACTACGTTATTTGTCTCTTTAATTATCCGATTAGCAAAAATTTTCATTTAAAACTCACAAAATTGTTTCTGTTATTTAAACATTAACAAGTTCTTAAGTACTTTATTTGAATCCCAACCGAAACTTTTTTAAACAACAGACTGTTTTACAACACAGGCGAAGATGAAAATCGCAATACAAACGAAAAACGGCAAATGGCCCCTGAAATTTAAAATGGCAATAACTTTTTTTGACTTTCACAGATGCTTTAGTAGCAAATACGAGGCAGCAGTGAATGTCTGCTGATTCAGAAGATCTTAACATTCGGTTTAAAACGTAAGTAAGCCAACATAAATTCTGGCAGTGTCAATGAACAAGAAAAAGGCAGAAAAAAATTATTGATCGTGTTTTCAAGATTTTTTTTGACAAGATTAATTTTGGAAAAAAAGTACATCACGCAGATGCTCGTTGATTTCTAAGAATAATTTCTGACAGAAACTTTCTTCATAAAATAAACTTAGAGAAAACAAGGCCACAGGGCAAATTTTAATTCATTCACGTTTTTTCGCACCCTTTCATCTTGCTTAATCGGAGAGCGTGGATTGCCTTCATTTTAGCAAATGATTTTGGTTTGAACTAAGAAAGAACAAAACCACACGGCTCAATAAGTGTGTTCACTATGTTCATTGACACATAATAATCAGACACATCTTTACACTGCAGAAAACGTGCTAACTACATCGGAAAAAATGACAGATTGTTTTATAACAGTTTCGGCAAGCTCTGCCTATGTCAAAATGCGTACATTGCATTGAACAGATAATGATGGTATTGGCTAACTTTGAGTAAACTGTCGTTGTGCGTCTGACAAAAATGTGGCCTTAGAGTGTGGGCGAATTACTTTCGTAAAAAAAATTGATAAAAAAACTTTAATTAAACTAGAATATATACAAACTAAACGGTTAGGACTCCTTTGATTCAATCATTATTAACAAAATTAATGTTGAATGAATAAAAACTATTGCACTTTGTAAGTTATAAAAAATACTGAAAAGAGACTGCACATACGATAGGACTGATTTGATTGACGGGATTTTTTTAGTTTGAGCTTCAAAAATGCGTACATTAAATGCGTACAGTAAATCATGCAGTTGGATTGGAACCTGATTTGGCATGTGAATTTAAATGCCAATTATAAACATTTGTTGACATAGTAAACTTTTTAAAATTGATTTTTTTTTGCAAGCTGAAGCAAAAGGGAAAGCTAAATGATGATATTCAGAGACCATTAGAAACTATTGAGAAATAGCACATCATGATAATCGGTTTATAATACGGGGTTGAATAGATTGTGACCATGTTATTTAATAAGCCGTTTAAAGAAACGAAACTGCTCAAATAACAGAAGCGTTAGTAGAGAATATAATTTTTCTGCTTCAAGATTTTACTGTTTTTTTGGGCCTGCAAATTTACTTTTTCCATTCAATAAGTTTACGCAATTTACCCGGTGACTAGATTCATTATAATTTTTTTAATGATTTTTTTAAAAAGAAGTGCCAAAAACGGCAAAAAAACGCACGAAAATTAAAAAAAAAGAACTTCGAATGTTTAAAAAACCAAATACTACCCGATTCGCACCCTATCTTCGGAGCAACAGTCAAATGTCCTGGTCCTTTTTAAGCGTTCACTACTTACCAATACTGGTTTTGAAATAAAAGTCAGAAGAAAAATGAAAGTTTCGGTCAATAGAAAACCTTATATCTTTTACACTGCAGTGGCAAAACAAAAAATCTTGCGGCAGATAAAATTAGTAGTCTATTAAAGGGGAGCGTTTTCATAATAAAAATTAATGCTTCAAAGCGGTTACATTCGAATCGTCAGGCCCGATATGTGGGTACGCTTCGCGAATGAACTCCGTTAAGCATGCTCCATTGACGTCGTAGGATAAAGAATCCCCTCCTTCTCGAATTTGTTCATCGTGGACATCTGCTGACACATGACACAGTCGTAACAGCAGCACACACAGAAGATGTCTTCGTAGCTGCCCATAGTGCCTCTGTTAGTCCCGATATTGAACTTTTTTCGGATGTGTTTCCGCAACAAAACTGCCAGTGTGATTCGGATCAGAAAAAGAGACCACACTACATACCACAGAAACCTGTCAGACAAAATTGAATTCCATCATTAAATATTCATAAAAAATTGGCTTCATTTTAGAAAATTGAATTTATTTCTACAAATACAATAAAAAAGCAACCGAATAGCCACACAAACAACCACAGCGTCAATTTCAGCAAATTTTCTAAAATCATATTAAAGGATCAAACTTCAATTTTTCAAATTAGCAATTTCAAATGATAACATATAGACAAAATGCTAGTTCATGGGGGGGGGGGGGGGGTCCAATTTTTCTTATATTTATTATCCCTCGGAACTCCGAACCTAACGGGAAATATTATAGCCTATCGAAAGTAGACTTGAGGTTATATCGGAGAATTACACACGCGTACAATATCCCTTACGGGAAGTCAAACAAGTACCGATACCTTAAAGATATATATCGCGGACAACGGCTTACACCCGAAGCCCGAAAATTTGAGTCAACTGGTGAGAGATTTTAGAAATACCTTTAACAATTTTATAACAGAAGTGAGGTTGTTTTTAATATTTCAATGCAGGTCAGGCCGCCTTAGGTTTCTTTCTGAAGAAGAAAACAAATGCAGTTACCAGAGCTCGGTTATATAAAAAAAGTTTCAATACTGTTTTAACTTCTCAGTTTCCAGCAGAAGGTCGCATTAGATCTCTGTGATGATATCAGAACGCCGCTTCAGACCTCTTACAAATTTTCGAGAATGTCGTTAAAGGCCTCTCTACACGAGTCTTTCAAGTGACTTTACGATGAAACCGGAGAAACTAGACTATAACAGTGGAAAAAAGAGTATTTGATGTGATAGAACAGAACAATCTGCAGAAGAAAGTTATTCCGAAACACCTTCGAATTCAAGATGAAGGTGCAAATTACAAATATGATGAATCGAAATGAGAAGATAAAAAAACAGAAAAAAAAACGAAAAAAATATATCATCTGAATGAATTTGCATAACTTTCGTAAATGTTACAATTGTTACATAACTATTAAATAACACTTACGTATTTTCGGCTGGTTGATACTTCAGCTGGTTTATATAGCACCGAAATATAGCACACGCAATTTTGTTATTAAAGTCTTTAACATTCTATACAGAGGCAAAACTTCGCTTCGCCAACACCAGCGAGAACACGACAAAAAGCAGCTCTATAAAGTGCAATAAGAAAAAGTTCCTCAAATTAATTTAAAAAATTCCGCTGCGTCTCGGATTTGCTCTGCCACCTAGAGATAATGAACCTCACGCACTAATTACTCAGCCATGGATGCTTAATAGGGGGTTGAGAAATTAGACGATAAGCAAATTAGACGGAGGTACTTAAAAGGAATATAGACGATTTTGCAAAACTGCAATTGTGAGAAAATAGACGAAAGTGAGAGAGATTAAAATTGTTTGCACACAAATTGCGCAAGAAAAACATAATTGTTTGTAGACAACAGTTAAATTTCGGTAGCCAAAAATTTTACAAGTCAATCATGCATAATTTATTCAATTCAAAACTCTTGTAATATTCGGATTTGACATTTTTTGTTCACTTAAATTAATTATTTTGATAGGTATTGACATTTTATGTTCTTTTTGTATTTGTGAAAACTGACTCTTAAGAAAAATTTTGCTGGCCCTTTCCTTTTCATAGCTTTTTCGTCTAAAATGCCAGATCTGTATAAAATAAATTCCGTCTTATTTCGTTTTTGTAGAATCCGCCTAATTTGCTTATCGTCTAATTTCCTGGGCCCCTGCTTAATAATAAGCAAACGATAGCAACAAATAAAGCGAGAGCAGATGCAATGAAATTTCCAATGCAACAGATCGTGATTATAGCAGGAATGCGACCAAATAAGTGATCACTTTTAATGAACACTTCTACTTGCGAGTTAGGTTAGAAAAAAAGGTTCACACTGATACACAACGAGGCTCTTTTCCAGTTAACTTCCCGCCCTTTGCTTTTTTGAAATTCGAAATTCTATTTTTAAAATGACTGTTCATGTTATAAACTGCATTAAAACCTGTCAGTGTGAACGGGTGAACAAGTTTTTACAAAACTTCTTAAATGCAAAATACCGTGTGAACAATGCTTGAACAGCTTTAATTTGTAACTTTACGAGGGGGGTTGGAAAATGGAAAAGAGCCCCCTGCGCTGCTGGCTAGTGTAATTATTACGTAATTGTTATATAATTTCGGATGTTTGACTTAGCGGATGTTTGTCATATCGGATGTTTGCCCTAGACCTGTTTGATTTATTTTGATATACCTATCCTTTCAACAAACCTGAATAGTTTGGATCCAGCAAACCAGGGATAGTAGTTATCTATCGTTCCATGTTCAGTGTAGTATGAGTACTCATTTTCATCTATCATTTCTGAAGCCATCCAACTTCCGACGAGAAAGAGTAGATAGATGATACACGTTGTAATAGAGAGAGTCACCCCAATCATTTTGTAGCTGGCCTTCTTCGCAGTTGAGAACTAAACAACAATCAGATCGTTGCATTTTTTTTGCAATCAACACAATTGAACTAACACTTGACGAATATTCAAAAAGACAAAAAGCACAGAAGACAAAATTATTCAGCGACTAGAGTAATTTTACGCGCAGAATTAATCCTCATAGCTTCATAAACAAGCAATTTATTCAGGTTTTTTATCTAGTTGGCAAAATCAAACTCAAATTATTTAGCTTCAAACAATAAAATTTAGCTTCAAACAAAAAAATAGCTCCACTATAAATAATATTTATAACTACTTATAACAATATCATTCTAAAGTTAATAATAAACATTTTTCATTGATTGCAGTTTTTCTGCTACAAAAACACAAGGTCGAAGCATTACGTGATTTCGCGAAGACTCCAAAGACAGCATTATATGATTTTGCGCAGAATTTTTGTCAAGAATTGTCTAGGATGAAGCTTAATCACTTACAACCAATTACTGATTTTTTACAATTTTTTTTGGTCTTTTTTAGCCAATTACTCCCTAAATTTTGACTCTAATTCGAAAAATAAGAATTACCTCAGCTACACAAGAGCACAGAAATTGGGTGATGCAGACGGGCAGATCAGAAAAACAGAAGAACAGTTCATACGCCCAGTACTTCTCAGTTGGTCTCGTGACTGTATTTGAATCAAGCAGTGTCACACAGGGTGCAGAGGGCAGACTACAAAGTGTAGCAAGGCTGCAAAATTTATTTTAAAAAAAGGAAAAACGGAGCTTTGCGTACAAAGGTTTCTGACAATGGAAAATTTGCTACATACTCCCCCATAAGTTTTCGAAGGCGCCCAAAAACGTTGTTTTTTTTCGAAAACGTTATTTTTTCTTTTTATGTTCTTTTCGAAAACTTGGTAAAATAGGGTCATTTAGTATTTATAAATCTATAAATCTCTCAGAAAATTGATTTCGTCGCTTTGAGAAAATATTTGGTCCTACGCTGATACTCAATTTACTTCAAAAACAATTTTAAAATATTTAAAGTCGGTTAAAAACCCTTTCTCGACAACCCAACAATTTTGTTGAAAAAGATCAGACAAATTCACTGTTCACGGAGAGCCATTTGAAACAATTCAAATTGTTTTTTTTCCAATTTTGTTTTCGGTTATAAATATATTCCAAACACCTTGTAAAAAATGCATTTAATTTTTGTATAATTATTATACCCACCAATACTATTTGAAATTTTTCAATATAAAAACTAGATTAATTAATATGAAAATGACTAATTAAATTTCATTTTCATGACTGTTGTTTATATATTTTTAAATCAGTGAAACTGCTGCCTATTAAAACGGTGAATCGTGAAATATAATTTTTTTGAGAAACCTGGAATCATCGATGCAAAAAACCAAAAAAATACAAAAGAATGTACCTTGTGATTTTGGTGCATTAGCAGTGATGGGGCCCATCAATCAAATGATTGGGGCTTCAAATAGCACGTGAGCTGCAATTTGGGACGCGAGCTCTTGTAACATAGCCAAAGCTTAGTTAAACCTTCAAAATAACTAGCGTATGTCCTAATTCCGGTGCTTCGAATTTTTAACAACTCATACAAAAAAACCGCATAAATTGAAAAAAATCTGCATGCTTTGAGTGTACTTTGACAGCGCCGAATTGAAAGGTTGGTAAGTTCAAATTTAGTAAAATTTTTTATTCAAGTTTTTTCAATTCAAACTTAGAAAAACCCTCAAAATTTGCGAAGTTTTTCATATTCAAGTTCTTTGAGAAATTTTAAAATGAATTAAGATACATCACATCTGAAAAACTGAAAGCAATTAAGCAGTCACATCTGAACGCAAGATTTTTAACTCCTGAGAGTGCTCTAAAAGTATCCAACTACAGCGTTGAGAATTTTAAATTTTGACAAACTTCAAATTTAAATTTTCTATAAAAGTTTTTATTGAAAAACCAGAAAAAACGTCATAACTCGAAAACTACAAAAATCCAGGAAGTAACCTGACAGAGCCTCACTATAGAGGAAAAAACTTCAAATTTTGTGAAATCGTTCATAAAACTTATATATAAATCTTTAAAATTGTTCTCTAATCATCTAAGTTCTTTGAACAATTTTAACAAAGACAACAAACAACACATCTCGGAAACTAAGACCATTTGAGCAGTCGCAATTGAACACAGGATTTGCAATTTGAGAGTACCCCCACAGTACCTAATTACACGGTTGGGAATTTCAATTCTTTCGATATTTTTAAATCTTAGTTTTCTCAAACATTAAAAAGAATCATAAAACACGTCATATCTCGAGACAAGATTCGCAATCCTTGATAGTAATCTGACAGCACCCAACAACAGATATTGGAAATTCAAGTTTTGAATTTTGAGTTTTCTGAAAAAAATTGTAAAATTACAAAAATCGTCGCATCTCGTACACTAAAAAAATTTGGAATTTCATCGTTGGAGGCCAAATTCAAAACCCCTAGCGGAATCCTGACAGCATCGCACTCTTGTGCTTTCAACTTTAAACTCTGTGAAATATACACTGAATTTCAACTGAAAAAAAAATCGAAAAACATTCTATACCATTGCAATATACGATATAGCTTAAACGTGAAAAAATTCTTTGGTTAAACATGCAAAAATAACACTTTTGAGACATCTGGCTGGTTGACTAGAAAAGATAAAACGTAGGGTGAGCACCATGAAAAATAAAAATTCATAAAAAAATTGAAATATATTCAACCTGTCTCTTTGTCTATCAAAATAATTTCAGTACTTACAATGAACGACAAAAAAGAGTTGAAATTTAAAAACTTAAGCAACAAAAATTTTTACTGCAGTAACGCTATTGGCGGCACTTCTGTATAACCTATAGCCAAGTCAATCAACGATAATAACCTTAAAAAAAATTAAAATGGTTCTTGCTTTTTTTAGCTACTGCTGATCATTCAATAAAAACAAGTTTTGTCAAAGATAGTACAATATGGTACACAGCCGAGAATTATAACTAAAACAAATGGACTTTTTAAAATAGAATGGAGCATTTCAAAAATATCTATTTTCTAAAAAGAATTAAACACTTAATTTGCAATGCATAGGCTGGCTATTTAGCAAAAAAAAACGTAAAGTATTCAACACTAAATTAATGAAAGACAAGGAAAAATCCGAAAAAACAACAAAACAGGAAGCAAATTTGAATTTAAGATTATCTAAAATTAATTTCGATTAACTCGCTTAATCTGTGCACAATTATAACTTAGATGCAGTAGTTGAAATACTAATATGAATCTATAGACCAAGAGATTAAACACCGAGGCGAAGAAGCCGTTTGCATGACTGCTGAAGGTGAAATACAAACACTATCTTGTTGGGAAACATTGGAACCACTCTTTGATACCCATACACTCTCACTATTGAGAGCAACACACCCAAAATTAAGCAAACGGAGCAAACTGAAGAAGAACATTCAAAGACATATTTACAGCATTGACACAGAGGCGAAGTTGTACTTCGCAACCACAAGCAAAAATATGACCGACTGAGCTACTGGGAATAACTGAACGAGTAAAACTAGCCTTCGAAATTTCTCAAGTGACGCACGCCAATTATGACGCATTAACAGTACCAGTCCATTTGAAAAAAAAAAATAAAGAAATTTACCAGCTAACATGCCTCAATTTATAGAGCAGTTATAACATAATAAAACTAAATGTAATGAAAACAAAATGATTTTTTTTTATTTGAGATTTTTTGTGAAAATCATTCCCCACAGGCCAAATTAAGTACAAAGTGACACATTTCGCTCCTAGTAACAAATCAATTATGGCAAATAAGCTTTCTTCAACCAATTTGGAACGATTTCTTTGAAGGATTAAATCTCCGCTTACGCGTTAATAACGCGAAATATATCGCGCGTTAATTGTCCCAAATTGGCCAAAATAGCAATTCTAAAACTCCCATAACTTGACAAAAAAATGATCAAAGGTGGAATATCTTTCCGAACTTAAGCTCAGGACAACAATACTTTTTGAATGATTTAAAAATAGCCCGTCAAAAATGGCTAGTTAAAAAGTCGAAATTTGTCTGAAGAAAAAAAACCACCCGAGCACAAATATTCGTTTACTTTCGTAACGAAAGTCGGAGCAATAATAGTCGATGTTAACATCCTTAGCATTGGCTGTACTTAATAGCTGGTTATTGATCAAAATGAACACATTTCATCGCAACAATATTTGCGTCGCAACAATATTTGCGACTTAGGTTGGAAAAAAAGTTAGTTCATACTATAACACAAGCATTGCTTGTGTAAAAATGAATATTTTTTGATAATAACAATTAAATTTCAGATACATAGAAGCTTTGAAGAAAGGCATATTTACAAAAAAAAATCAACTAAATTTTTCAGTTCAGATTTTTTTTGAATAGGAATGCAAAATTTTTACAATTCCAAACCCCCACCCCCCCCCCCCCCCCCACACACACACACACACACTTCCATTTGATGATATCAAAACTTACATTTGATGGTACCAAAATTTTTTGAGACCTCCGACCTTCTGAACACCGCCGGTTCAAACCATGATAAAATAAAACCGCAGCAAAACAGTAAGAGAAAATTAGAAGATTTACAGAAAGCTAGAGCGGAAGCAATTATAGGCCAAGCAGAAGTTTTTAGAGGTGATTATCCTCATGAGAAATTTTTGACGAAATTTACTTCTGCCAAATTGAAAGAAATTTTCAGCCTAGAATTCCCGTTTGCTCAAATTCTACTAGAACAGAGCAAAATACGTAACTCAATTACTAAAACAGTCTAAAAAGTATATTAAGGAAGTTTTCTCCTGTTTTCAAATATACATTTTTCAAAAAATATAAAATTTAAATCACCGCACTTATCTTGTTGAAATTATCATTTGGAAATATAGCCAAAACACAGTTGAAAAAATTTCGATAAAATAAAAAAAACATATATGTCTTAAACCTCTTTGAGTTTCAAGAATCTTTTACGATTGAAAATTATTTGATATAACTAACCCAATTTGAGAAAATTGGATCAATTTTTATTCCGCTGGTTAAAAAATTGAAATCCAAGTTTAAAACTAAAACTCGGTCACGTTTTCTTATTCGCGCCTTTTGCACTATCGTTATCGGAGAGCACAATTTGCCTGCATTTTAGCAAATGAACTTGAATCAAATTGAAGAAATCAAGTCAAAGCATGAGAAGTCAAACTTGAGCGGTAACAAATTCAAGACTTCTTCCCTAAGAACAATTATGACATTGAAGTTCTTTCAATTTCAAAAAAGAACAGTCTAAGCAAGTGTGTCCCTTTTGTATATAGTCATTTGAAAACGGGCAGATTAAATAAGCAATTACGCACTTAATTTATTTACTTTTTAAATAACTCATAAACATTGCAGCCCTGCCTATATGGAGGTACAATTGTTGCAGGAACACATGGTTCACTGATGTTTCCATCTCTACTGTATTCAGGAGGCTCTGGGTACACCTGAAGAGGAGGAGGTGACGCGAACGATGTAGTAGCTGATTCATAACTGGGCGGTTGCTCTCTCACCTCTGCTGCCTTATCCATTTACCTTAAGAGACAATTCACCTTCACTAGTCTAATATTAACAATCAAACAACTCAGAGCTTCCCATCAATTGCGAATTGAAAAGAAACGGCGAAGCGATTGTTAAATAACAAATCACTAACAAAAACAAGTGCAGCCGGTTCCAGTGCAAGTAGCACCAAAAATTCCGACCACAGTAATTTAACTAGACTCGGTTATTAAATAAACCATAAAAACGTCATTTCGAAAACTTAAATGGCCTCTGGAGAAATTTGGAGGCCACATTTGCAACCACTGAGAGTAATCTGACAGCACCTTACTATCGGGTTGGGAATTTCAAATTTTGAATTTTTTTAACCTAAATTTCCCGAAAAAAAATTGAAAAAATCATAAAAAACGTCATATCTTGGAAACTAAAAGGATTTCAGCATTCATATTTAGAGGCAAGATTTGCGACGCCTGGGTGTACCCTGAAAATACGGCTGTCTCTTCATCTAGTAAGGAGTTTCAAATTTCGAAACTTTTTTGTAAGTAGGTTCTTTGAAAACTTTTGAAAAATAATAAATGGCATCACGGAAACACAGAGCATTTAAGCAGTCGCATTTGGACGCAAGATTTGCAACTTTTGAGAGTACCCTCACAGTACCCAATTATACGGCTGAGAATTTCATATAGGAAACATTTTCAAATTTATGTTTTCCGAAAACTTTCTAATAAAAACACTTAAAATGTCAAATCACGAAAACTACAAATATTTGAGTAGTCATATTTTGAGGCAAGATTTAAAAATCCTGAGAGTGCCCTGGTATCACCCAAGTACAGGGTTAGGTTTTTGAACTTTTTAATCTAAGGTAACTGAAAACTTTGGAAAAAACCATAAAAAAACGTCATATCTCGACAACTACAAGGATTTGAGCAGTCATAATGGAAGCAATATTCGTAACCCCTGAGACTAACCTGAGATTACTCAACTACAAGGTAAGAAATTTTCAATTTTGAAGAAAAAAAAATTCAGAAAAACTTCATATCTGAAAAACTACAGAGGCTTGAGCAGTCATATCTGGAAGCAAGATGCACAACCCCTGAGAGTACTTGAACAGCCCCCCAACTACAGGGCTGGTAGTTTCAAATTAAAAAAAATTCGTTTGAGTTTTCTGCAAAATTTTAAAAAAAATCACAAAAAACGTCAGATCTCGAAAACTACAAGGATTTGAGCAGTCATATTTGGAGGCAAGACCCCTTGGGAAATCTTGACAGCATCCCACTATCGGGCTGCTATTTTTAAACTCGGTGAAATAACCATAAATTCGAACAGGAAAACCGAAAAAAAAAACATGCATAAAAAATACGTTGAAAAAGCTTAAACGAGGCGAGATAGTGAAGCCCGCATTCAAATATATAATAGATTGACTTGCAAGTCCAAAACAAAACAAGAAAAAAATTTCTCAACTTTCGATTTGTACATGCATGTAAAGCGCTAACTAAAACTTCAAAAACTGCTTTTACAAAGCTAAAAATATAATTTTTCAAGCAAAAAAACTGCTTTTTGCAGTAACATTGGACATTAAAACAGAAACTTCAAACCAATTTATCATAACAAGTAAGAAAACTTTAAGGAATTATTTGTATATCGACTCGAACCCATCTGACGCTCATTTGTGGTACCTGATTTTGTATGGAAAAAATAAAGAACAACAACACCCAAAGACAAATTTTCGCCCCAGTTTCAGTTGTTGGAATAAAAAAAAATTCCACAAGACCCTAGGAAGCAAATGTCAACGCAGAGGTGAAGCGGAGCTTCGCACCACTTGCGATAGAACAAAAACATTAAACAAAAAATTGAAAAATGTTCAAAAAAATGAGAAAAATAAATTTCGCTGGTTCAAAAATAAATTTCGTTGGTTAACAAATTGATCCAAGTTTAAAACTAAGACTCAGGTTTTTTTATAAGCGCAGTTTGCAATATTGTTATTGGAGAGCACAATTAGCCTGCATTTTAGCAAATGAACTTGAATTTAACTGAGGAAATCAAGTCAAAGCATGAGAAGTCAAATTTGAGTTTTAAGAAATTCTACACTTCTTCCATAAAAACAATTAATTTATTGAAGTTCTTTTAACTTCAAAAAACATTTACCCTTTTGAAATTGATTATTGCACCCTGCCATTTGTCGGAAGAAAAACTTTCCTCAAGAACCTAGAAAGCAAGTGTCAACACAGAGGCGAAGCGGAGCTTCGCACCACTTGTGATACAAGAAAAACAAAAAAAAAACAAGTGAAAAATGAAAAATGTTTTAAAAAAATATGAAACTCAAAATTTACCCTGGTTAACAAAATGATTCAAGTTTAAAACTAAGACTCGATCACGTTTTCTTATTAGCGCAATTTGCACTATTGTTATTGGAGAGCACAATTTGCCTGCATTTTAGGAAATGAACTTGAAAAATCAGAAAACTTCTAAAAACGGTCAAAGCTTAAAATATGACATTGCGAAATCCAAAGTGTTTTGTGCAAGAAGCAGATTGTGGACGCTAAAGTAGAGAAAATTCACAGTAGTGGTCGAGTAAAGTCAAAAGGTTTCCAGAATAAGGTCAAAGTTTCAAAACTTAGACTTTTTGAAGACCATAACTTTTTTCTAAAAGCAATGAGCCCAGCCAATTATAATTAGACTTTAAACAGCCTGTTGTTTCGAAAAAAACCTTTGATATCAGATTTGGGTTTATATCTGGCCAGGATATTTATCGAGAAACAATCAAAAAACGATCAACAAATCAATGATTTGACATTTCTCAGAATCATAGATTTTTGACTAGAAAAATTTGGACAAAAAGGTTCACGCAACGTCCAAATTCAAATGAAGAAAAAAAGGGTAACTCTAACCCTCAGATAATCTCAGATATGGGAGGGTGGTTTTCGAAGGGATATTGAAAAACAGTTTAGAAAAATCATAAACTTGACTATTCCGAGGGGGGTAACTTAAATTTAAAAAAATTTTGGCGGAGCCACTTAAGCATGCATGGTTCAAAAATATGGGTCAAATTTTCCACTCGCAGAGATTTTCGAAGGCTGTAGACAACGGGGTGAAGTAGAAAGATAAAAACAGTTAAAAAACAGATATTGAAAAACAGTTTAAAAAATCATAAACTTGACTATTCCCGAGGGCCGTAACTTAAATTTAAAAAATTTTTCGCGGAGCCGCTTAAGTATGTATGGTTCAAAAATATGGGTCAAATTTCCCCTCGCAAAGAATTTCGAAGGCTGTAGACAACGGGGTGAAGTAGAAAGATAGGTACACACACAGGGGAGAAGGCGGTCTTTCTATTAATACCTGTTTTTGAAATCTTTAGAATAGTTTTTGCGACAAACCAATATTTCCTAAAATGTCCTAAGCGTCAAGTGAAAAAAATGTCCGGAGCGTCTTAATAAAATTAACACAGAGGCGAAGCTTAGCTTCGCAAACTCTAGCCAGATGACAAAAAAGCAGCTTTATAACGTGAAATAAGAAAAGATAGAAATAAGCCTCTTTGCTACGTGTGGTAAAACTTTGCTACGTGAGGGCTTTGAAACTACGACCTCGAAATTTCTTGAGGTCTGCTCAAGCACCCTTCTTTGAAAGTTCGAAAAACTCATAAATACTTGGTAGTTCCGAACACAGAAACCCGTCTTGCGTTAACCGATACCTTCAACCATACCAGATTAGGGGAATTGTTATAATGGAATAATAACTTTGTTATTACCACACAACTGTGTTTATAGTGGAATTCTAAACAGAATTCACAATTTATAATCAAACGTCACGCGTAATTTCTAGTGTAATTGTAGTGTAAATGTCGTCTTGTTGACACTACCGTTTGAATTAAGTTTCTCGGTGATATTGTAACGAATGCTAAGTGACTTTGAATCTCTTTTTGTGCCTTCAAGTTGCAGACCTTCATGTTCAGTGAACTGTATTTAAATTGAACTTAATTTCAACCCGTTGTCTTTGATGATTACTAGTATAGCCCTGCTCCAAAGAAACTTCACTTTTAATTGAACAGTCGAAAAGAGGCATAAAATGCCAAATTTTTCGTTACTGAACGAACGTCCATGGTCAGCAGCTATTGTAAACTGTCTGAGCCCGATTCCAATACCACCTCAGCAACATCCTAATAGTGCAATGCAGCAAAAGTGTATGCAGCGAATATAACAAACTAAAAGCATTCACACTAAATATGCATGTAATAAATTGGAAAGCATAAAGCCACATTATGTAAAAATTATGCTGGGATTCAAACTCCCGACCTTAGGATTTAAAGGCCACGGCGTTGCCCTAAGCCAAGTACGAAGGAACCTCGAAGTTTTTAAGATTCAAAAACAGAAAGTTGAAAATTTGTAAGAAAAGTTAGTTACAGGGAAAAAAGTCTAATTCAAGACACTTGCTTTCAAAAGTGCAATTAACAAGGAATCGAAGAAAAATAAAAACTAATATTTTAAACATTTTTTATACTTTCGAAGAAAAAATAGATCACAATAAAATTCTTCGAATTTAAGGAAACTTTTACACAGAGGAGAAGCAGAGCTTCGCACCACTTGCGATACAATACAAACATGAGTCGAAAAAAAATTTTTAGATATTAAAAACAAGGTGAACCAAAAATTTGACTTTTCAGAGGGCAAAAACTTTTAGTGTAAAACTTTTTGTTAGTGACCGCTAATGCAGAGCAATTTCCCACTTGACCAAATTAATCCACAATATCAGATTTGGGAGAGTAGTTTTGGAGAAAAGTCAAAAAATTTGAAAAAAAAAACATTTTGTCACAAAATCAAGTATTTCACTTTTGCCGAGGGCCCCAATGTTTGGAGTAGAAAAAATTGGGCATATCCGTAATAGCAAATGAACTTCCCGAAGACCTTCCTGAGAATTGAACCCAAAATTTCAGGTATCGCAGGGTAATTTTTGAAAATACTCAAAAAGCTTTAAGAAACGGTCAAAAATCAAAAATTAGACTTTTCAGAGGGCGATAACTTCTGGCATAAAACTATTGTTAAATTCCACTGATGCAGATGAGCTTCCAACTACCTCTTCTCTCATTGTACTCTCAATATCAGATTTGAGAGGTTCGTTTTCGAGAAAAGTCGAAAAGATCCACAAAACAGTTAAAAAAATCAAAAATTGGACTTTTCCGAGAGGGCCATAATTTTGCCTGCAAGAAAGTTTGGTCGTAGTTACTAATGCAGGGGAGCTTTTCAAAACACATCTTTCCATTGAAACCAAAAACTCATATTTAATAGAGGTAGTTTTCAAGAAAAAAAAAAAAATAAAAATATTCCCCCACATTTTTTCGATGGCTGTAGACAGAGGGGTCATGTTAAAAAAGACTCTAGGGGAGTCAGCAGGTAAACAGAGGAAAAAGCGGTCTTTCAATTGATACTTTTTTTGAAAATCAGCAGTAGTTTCAGAGAAAAACTAAAAATTTGGAAAAAGTGAAAAAATTTTCCCAAACGAAAAAATTGAAATTTCAACAAACAGATTGGAAAACATACAACCAACTTGAAAAAAGTTGGGGCGAATGCTGAAATTGTGTTGATCTTCAAACGTCCCAAAATTAGCGAAACAAAAAAAACGAAAAGGAAATATAAAGTCAAGGTAACTAAAATTACAAAATGTAGGCGTAAATCAAACACTAGAAGCAACAAGAAACGAAGAAAAAAAAAACAATTTCAAGATGTGACAACTAAGCCGACAACAGATAAGCAGACAAATAATTGACCAAAAACTTTTTTTTAAAAGAATATTTCCCGTTTGGAAAAAAACAGGTCCTGGTCAGACTCGAACCCTGGACCTTTGCGACACCCGGCATAATCGCTACCTCCAGGCTAAGTTGGCCAGGTACACTAAGAAATTGAATACATAATGAAACAAGGTACAGATGAGTCCCATACATCCAGATGAGCCATGTGGACAAAGTTGTTTACGGGAAACAAATCGAGTACCGGTTGCAATACCCTTGCTTATCGCAAGGGTAATGATTGAAAAATTATGACCATAGCCAAGATACAGTTCGAAAAGAGTCAATGAACGCAAGTAAACAGAAAAAAAACTGACTTGCTTTTGAGAAAATCTCAACTTTCGAGTATCAAAGAAAAAATAGGTGCCCCTAAATATCTTCGAACAATTTATGTTTCACCTTTTTTTTTGATAAAATTAACCCAATTTGAACAAATTTTAAAACTTCTGAAAAAAACTCAAAAAAGCGAGACCTCTATATAAGAGTCTGAGCTACGTTCATCGACTCCTAAAATGACTTGAGGCCGCCACGCCAATATAACTTAGGCAGGGCCCTTTTAATCCTAATCATAAGAGAACCGAAGATAAGGCTAATTTCACAATCGATGTAACGATTTAAGAACCATTTCTTTTCAAAATTTGTATTTTACGTTACATTGGATGTAAATTTAGTGTTAACTCCAAGTTTTGAATATAACGGTTACTTAAATTCCATGCATGCTCAAAATACGTGTTGGTTGACGTAAGTACAGACTCAGGAAATTCAGACAAGAAATTGATTCCGTGACTTAGACAATTTCTTTGCCCAAAAAAATTGATTCTGATTTCATAACGCGTGCTAATCGCTAGCATGAGAAAATTAATTACTTGTGATTAAAAAAATTAGCCCGATTTGAACTAAGTAATATCGTTTTTCTTAAATTCCTTCAAACACTCGCACTAGGCAAACACAAGCCGAAAAACGACATAAGATAGCCAGCTCTGAAAAAACCGCGAAACAAAGGCAAAATCAAAAATACAGAAAAAACTTTATGGCAAATAAACTTAAAGACAAAACAAATAGAGTATGCTTTGAATCTAGAAGGAATTATTGGAACCTACTATTTTGTCTCAGCTCACTTAGAAATGATCGATAATTTGGATAAACTCGCCAAGCTGAAAAAATAAGTCTCGCTTACGCGCTACGTATAGTGTAGATGCATTATAGCGCGAATAATTTAGCCCAGCATAATTGAAGATTTCACGAAAAAAAAACGAATAAAAAATTGCCTTATATTTCAGCTCTGTGCGACAAAATAGTCTAAGGGGCAGAGAATTTGTCATAATTTAAAAACCGTTCACTGAAATGTGCTACTTGCTTCGGATAAAGTGATCAGACCTATAACAATACGCTCGTATCTTCGCTTGTGTGATAACAAATAAAAACGACATCAATAAAATTCACGCAGCGATTTGATTCTTCTCTGAAAAAGAATATGGATATCATGCTCATTCTCGTTTTTTTCTCATGCCAAAACACAATATATCATAAAAATATATTCACAATTTAAACTAAAGGATTTTAGGGATACAGGATCAAAATAAAACAGCCTATAAATTAGCACAATAATTAAACAGTAGGGAAACTTCAATGTTTTCAGCGGTCTTCATCCTGCTCCAATTACTCTAGTGGATAATCTAGGCGAAAACTTTCTAGCATTTAGAAGCTAGTACATGTGACTGCAGACACTCCATGCACTAACATGGAAGGTGGTAAATGTTGAGTCAATACATCTAGCGGTTCCATGTATCTCTCGCAACTAGCCACGACTTCATTTTCTACCTCTTCCTTTTTCAATTGAGACGACGAGCAGTCCACACTAGCACTTACTGTGACCCCTATGCTGTGTTCTTCCCCTGTCGTGTTTGCGGGCATTGCCATTCGCTGTCTGACCTTGGAGATGTTTGGCTTCGGTAGGTAGAAGAAAGAGACGATGGTGTGACGTGAGTGTTGTCGGATGACGTCATTCAAATCCTAATTATACCATCAGTAAACACCATAAACCACGTTTGAGCACAAGAATCGAAACAAATAGTTCCAGACAGTTCAACACACAAAACATGAACATTAAATAAGTACATCGGTTTACCAGCAAAAATAATTACAGAATCATTGATTTATTTGAATCTCTAATAATAAATGATATATCCAGTCATTTTGACACTTTCAAATTACCTGCGTTCTAACGGTCAATTTCAGGTACCCCAAATCATCTAAAACATTGCCAATTTGTCGCAAAAACAAAAAAAATCACACAATAGAGGCTTCATTGGTTTCCATTCGCTTATTCATTCTATTAAATGTCTGAATTTTTCAATGTAGACCGTCACTTTTCCCCTCAGCAATTTAACACCCATGCCCAAACAAAGGTCCCCTTTGACCATTTGAAACTGTTTTATGACACCCATTCTTGACCGACCAACACAATAAGAACGATTTTTTTTAAAAAAATTTTTAGTTTTTTTTTTTTTTTTTTTTGGGGGGGGGGGGGGGGGGGTGATTATTTGGAGCTGCGACAAAAATTACGCAACTTTCATTTCTAACTCGAACTCAACAAAATTACAACAGACGATGATTTTGGAAATTTTTCTCAAAATCATTATTTTCAAAAATCAATTTTACTGATCTTAAGACAGGCGAAGCTGATACTCGCAAACACTAGTGAGAAAACGACAAAAACCAGCTCTAAAAAGAGAGATAAGAAAAAAAAGGCTTGAAAATTAAAACTTTTGCGGAATCGATCCGCAGTGTAATATTAGACTACGCTCGCTAAAGTTGGTAGTGTAAATAAATGTTCTCAACATTGTACTTTTAGGCTTAGACTAAAATAACATCCACCCACCCCCCCCCCCAAAAACGTTTAGGGCGGAGGATGTTAACTTGGTTCTGAGATCGAATTTTCGGCCAATCAGAAAAGAGCATTTCACACGCAGCGTTCAGCAAATTTAATTTAAATTGAACGCTGGGGTGGAGGCTCTTAACTTAGTCTATTTGCAAGGAGGATGTTATCCATATCCAACCCCTGTTTGTTCACCACAGCTAATCCAGTCCAGTCATGTCTAATCCGTAACTTGGTTCTAAACAAAACTAGTACTGCAACTTTACCTCAAAGTAGGACATAGGCAGCGATTTGTCTTTCTTCGGACTGCTACTACTTCTCATCTCCTCTTCGCTCATGGACAATGAGCTGTCCATCTGTTGCGTTCCTTTGCTTCCTAGTGCCAAGTGCGTATTGGCCAGTCTCTCCCAATCGAAGTTGGCCACCTCTGCTGAGATACGAAGCTGAAATGAAATTGAAATCAATTTTTCATTAGTCGATATCTATAAATATCACTATTCTCAGGTTTATGTCTGTTTGTGGAAATGTTTGTTACCCTGTTCCTGCTTAACGGCTCAATCAAAAGGACCCGAACTTTAAGCATAGTAATTAAAATATGTATCGCCAGTCACAGATTTTAACACAGAGGCGAAGCTGAGCTTCGCGCCACTTGCGATACATAAAGCCACAAATTGTGAAAAAACGACTAAAAACACCTGAAATTTTAGATGTTTGTCTCAAAATGAAACTTATTTTGATCAAAACGTGTGGCGGAACACAACAACCAGCATTAAACTAGCATAAAAAAATACCGATCGGTAACTATGGAGAAGAAAGCGGGATAAATGGTCGTAAAAATCCGAACGTATTTTAAAAGCAAAAAATGTTGAAACTTTTGATTTTTTGTCAAAAATTCGATATTCCATTAAATTGAATCGATTAGCACGCAAAAATTCTCAGACATCACCAGGAATTAGGTCAAAAAGTTGCACTGAACTAAGCCCAAACAAACTTAGACGCAAAAATTAACCGACAGAAAAATGCTGGCGAAAAAATTGTCCATTTTTTCGCTTTATCAAGTTTTGGTAGGTATACAAACGAACACCTAAATCACATTAGTCTAAGCTTGAATGGCAGATGAAAAAAAAACAATTAACAGAAAGAGAGAAAAGCATTAAATGTACTAGAAACAAATAGCGCAAACAAACCAAATTTGTTACACAGGTGATGCTTTGCTTCACAAACACTAACGAGAACACTACAAAAAGCAGCTCTCTAAAGTGCAATACAAAAATTTAGAAATAAGCCTCGAAATAGCAAAAATTCGGCTAGGTCTGAAACTTCGAACCTGCAATCTAGAGATTAAAAGTCTCACGCAATAACCACTCAGCCACGGAAGCTTAATTGGTACCAAACAGGTTTGCAATAATACACAAAGCTGATCACTAGTGGAACAATCAATCGTTCTACGAAATTATAGGGGCTTGAAAGCACTTAAGCAAAATAGAAATCACTTGACGAAAAAATTGATCAAAAATTACACCAAGAAAATTGCGAATTAACTCATGACTATAATTACCTTCGCCGAAAGAATATGATAAGAACAGCAGGCCGATCAAGAATTATTGAGGAAAAAATCCGAACAAAGTTTTATTGAAAAGCGAACAATCTCCAAAAAAAATCGACAAAAATTTTTTTCATGATTTTTACAACGTTTTTCATCAGAGAAGGTCGGAGAAGCGATTTCAAACTTCCAGAAATTTCAAAATATAAAAAAGACTGGTAATAAATTAAAAAACATTAGGCAAATAAGCTGACAGAATTAAAGCCGACTTTCAATACGCTGAAAAACAGCCAAAATACTTTCAGTAAAAAAATCATAAAAAGAATTGCATTTCCCCGCTAAAATGCAACCCCTATACAGGCAAAACACGTACGCTGAACAAGCTGCATATTTGTAAACTTACCATTTCAAACTTCTAAATTTTTACCATTCTGTGACCAAAATTATTTACGGTAAAAAAAGTCAATTACCGGGTTGCAACACCTTTGCTTATCGCAAGGGTAATTACTATTTGAAAAAAAAACAGCAAAGAAAAAAATTGCACTCGAAGATTATTTAGTATAAAATATTGTTTTGCTTGCCAGATCAAACAACATACCAAAATGTTCTGTGTAGATAGTATTCGTTTTCATTTTTTAATTCATACCATCAGGTGCGGATCTAGAAATTTCTCGAGGGGGAGGGGGTGGGGCGGATTTTCAAGAAAAATTTGAAAATTTTGTCGACCTTTTTTTAGGTTGACCAAATTGATTTTCTGATCTCTCTCAAATCACTATAAAGACCCTAGTTTGACAAAATTTTATGCGCCGGAGGCAAATTTGTGAAAAGGCAGGCCAAAAAAAAAGCGTTTTTAGAAAAAATTTAAGGTCAGTCAGTCAAAAATGGATATCTCAAAATAGTACAAAGTGGTGACCCTTTGCGTCCGCAGGGGGTCGAATCACTGAGAAGGGAGCCTATGCACCCCACCCCCTAAATCCGCTACAGCATACCATATAGCTTTTTCAATTTTAGCAAAAAATAACAACACATTCGTGGTTATTTCAACTTACTATTTAAAGCAATTTATCAATCACCGAATTAATTCAAGCTAAAATATTTGAAGAGTGGGGTAAAAAAAGCTTTCGAGTAAGAACGTATACGTTAAAAATGGAGTGGACCCAAAGTTCAGCTACATGGAGTGAGGGTGATATATTACAATAGGTGGTAATTTCAAGTTAAACAGCTGGATCATTTTTTGTTATACTTCGCACAGTATTTACAATTTATTTTAAAAGCCAAACTTTTGACAAAAGAAGTGTAAAATTTGAGTTTTTCAATAACGTTTTATCTGGCAGAACAACATATTTACAAAAATATCTAAGCAGCATGTACAATTGATTGAAATGACTATATTATGCATTACAGTTCTCAAATTTAATACATGCACTGTAGTTAAAATTACCACCAATTGCAACATATCACCGGAGTGAGAGAAAACGAGGACCAACTTGAATGAGTAGATTTTTTACAGCTGTGACGATATGTTGTCTGGAGTCATCTGTGGAGGGGATGAAGACGCGCAGCTTGCAGTGTTTCTTCCAGATTCCCTACAGCACAACACCAAATATACTCAATTAGTTCGATTCACAATAATAATTGCAAAGATATCATCATGATTAAAGAAAAGTCGACTGCTTTGCATATACCACAGGCAGACTTTATTAACTATACTTTGTTAATTGATGAGAAACATATATCACAAGAAGACTTTTACACAGCCCAACAAAGTTCTAGGGAGATTGAACCTCCAAAAATTTGAGTAAATTGTTTAAAATTTGTTTTTAAGCAAAGATTTTGGGTTTTATATAGTTAAAATCAGGTTTCTTGACTATCACGCAAAAATATTTTCTCTTATCCAGGTTTTCGGAGATTCAACTTTCCAAGAACTTTGTTGGACTCTGTAAGAGGCTTCTTGTGATGTGTTTCTCTTCAATTAACAAAGTAGTTTTAGCGTAATTTTTGATTAATTGAAAAAACCAAAATGACCCATTTTTGGGGTAAAATTTTGGTTGAGAATTTTTGAGAAAAAATTGCACCATATTAATTTTTATGAAATTCTAAGCAACTTTTGTTCTCGTCATTTTTTGTTTAATCTTAACCCAATTTGAGAAAAATGCGTTTGAAAATTCGAGTTTTGTTTATTTTGTCCGGTTAATTTAAATCAGCACTGTAGCAGAGCTTGTGAGTTAACAATCACCTTGGCTTCTTCCCCCTTACAGCTAGCCCCAAGAATACTAACGAAAATGCTCCCACAAGCAGTCATTTCTGTACTTTAAGGGACCTAGAAAGTTCTGGGGCAATAATGGGTTGAATGACTCAATATTAAACAAGGCCAACATACAGTTAGAAAAGCGTTAATAAAAAAATATAAGGCCTTGAGGGGCAGATAAAAACCAAAGAAAAAAACCAATGTTTTTTTTAAATATCGAAAAAATTGAACCCCCAAAAACTTTAAATCATTTGTCCTAATTTTGCCTTGAATAAAAACTCCTTTCAAGAAAAAATGCTAAATTTTAAAACATTTAAATGTAAAAGGAGCATCGAAATAAAACTTACAAAGCCGAAAATTGTTGAGCAGACACACATTGCGCTGAAAAAAAATTATTAGAAAAAATCAAAACTCAAAAAACTTTCAAGTCCTCTGAAAAAACATTTAGATAAAACATTTTTCTCTTCAAACGACTCAAAAAGAGGCCTCTAAGCTGATATATTACACCAAGACGAAACTGTGTTTCACAAACACTAACGAGAACATGACAAAAGCAGCTCTATAAAGTGCATAGAGAAAAAGTAGAAATAAGCCTTGAATTAGTTAAATTCGGCTACGCCGCGGATTCGAAAAAAGTATCTACAGATTATGAATATCACGCACTATACATACGGCCACTGACGCCTGATTGATTGCAACACTAGCCACAAATAAAGCAGAACATGCTATGCAATTTCCAATGCAGTGAAATTTCCATAGGTGAACACTTTCAATGAACACTGTTATTTGAGTAAGATTGGAAAAAAGAAGGTTGGTACTAATACACTAATGCTCGCAAACTCGCTAGTATAATAAGCCGAAACCTATTAAGACAAAAAAAAAACAAAAAAAAAGAAATCGAAAAGTAAAACTATAGCCATATAAAAAGTGCGGAGGGGAGCTCAAAAATTGCGTATCCCTGTAACTATCCAAAAATAGGTCAACTAAGCCGATAACAAAATGGCCAAAAAAAATCAAATCCGAATAAAGTGCTTAAGCGAAACAAAAAAAACAAAAAAGGAAATACGAAGTCAAGGTAAGTAAAATTACGAATTGCTGGCGTAAATCAAACACTAAAAGCAACATTCAAAAAAATGTGCAGTAAAAAAAAACGGATTCCACAATGTGGCAATTAAGCTGACAAAATATAAGCAGAAAAATTTCCCAGAATTTGATTGAATTATGAAACAAGGCACCACTAGTGACACAGAGGCGAAGCTGCGCTTCGCAAACACTTGCGAGAACACGATCAAAAAGCAGCTCTATCCACTGAAATAAGAAAAGGTAGAAGTAAGCCTCAAATTAGCATAAACTCGGCTACAAGTCGGATTCCAATCTGCGACCTAGCAAATTTGAGTCTCATGCATTAACCAATCAGCCACCGAGGCTTAAATTCCCCAAAAATTAGCCACCAATAACGCAGCTACATATGCTAATCAATTGCCAATTCGATGCAGCAAACGTTTCGTCAAATACAAACAGACTCAACTATGCATGTAATAAAACTGAAAGCATAAAACCAAATTATGTATTACTTATGCATTTCAAAAAAATGCGAGATAGATTGAGTTGGAAAATTTCTGAAATGAGATTTTTATCATTGTACTGCTGCTTGAAACAAATATTTTTTTTCGGTTCATTTGATGAAATAAAAATGCATCAGCTGTCGTAACTTTTCATTAATCAAATGTCAAAGCACATATGATATTATACTGCTACCACAGCCTACCGATTCGAAAGTGTCACCAAAAGTAGCACTTTTATTTGCGACTTAGATTTCTTTTTTCTAAAGAAAAGAAGTTCGTACTAATTCACTTTGCTTCGCAAGTGTTAAGACGAGTCCAGAAGTCCACTAGAGATGAGTCCTGTGAAAAGAGTTATTTAAGTGAAAAAGTCTAGAAACCGATTGCAATTCCCTTGCATATCGCAAAGGTTATAACATTAACCCAATTTGAGAAAAGTGGATCAATAGGTAAAACTTTTATTTCTCTGGGAAATCTGATAATTAAATTCCATTTTCGAATTTAAAATTCGATCACATTTTTCATGAACTTTGCACTTTTGCTGTTCGATAGTGGAGTTTGCATTCCTTTCAACAAAGGAAGTGAACTGAACTAAAAAAAAAAGAAATCATAAGTGAAACCGCGAAAAAGTAAATTTGAACCTGATCAAAGAACGAAAAAAAACCATCACCACCTATATAAGAGACTGTACTACGTTCTTAGAAACTTAAATACTCAAACACACCTTCATCATGAGTATACATGCTAGCTGTAGAAGGAACAAAGAGGACACTTCTGTAATGAATTTGGAGGCAGGCTGGAAAAAATCCACTAGCCACACATCGACATACATCTCTTCTCCCTTGCTCTTCTTCTGGCGTAGCTTCGAGAAGTCTAGACTATTGAAGTTCCTGGTGAGACACACATTCTTGCTCATCGTAATCAGGTCTTCAACTGTGCACACATACTCCACCAGAGACATACCTCGAGGAGAGTCCTCGTTTCGAACCTCGGGCAGGTCGTTCAACATGTTCTGCAGTTTGAACTTCTTGCGTCGTGAAAAATTGGACGTAGTCGTGTTGCGAGTCATGAACCTAATGCACAAAAAAAACTTTTTCAAATGTAAGTATAGTTGAAAACAAATTTGTTGTTACTTTGTGCAATTCAATAAGATTTGCGATGAATCGAGATTTATAAGTCAATTTTATCGTACATTTCGATGAAACTTTGAGTTACAACAATGTCCTGTACCTACGCATTCAAGAAACAAAAAAGGTAACTGCAATCCGAAGTCGTTAAATTTGCCTTCTATTTATCAAAATGATCTTGAAGCAAATTTCAAAATCAGAGAACAAACAAATAAAAAACCACCCTCAAACAAATAAAAAACCACCCTATCTTAATAAATGAAAAATCGATCATTCAGCGTTGAGAAGCACGTCTTTACTGGCCAATTCGACTTTGTCTTCTGTGTGACTCACCTAGCTCTGGCATCGGCTGAGATGTGAGTGGTGTTTCTCTGCAGATTATTCAGGGTGTCAACTGGCAGGTTGAAGTCGTAGAAGCCGAGGATCACGGTGTTCGGTTTCATGCCACCCAGACCCGAGAGACGAGCGAGGGCCATGACTCCATCTCGGATGGAACTGCTGATGGTCATCTCCACAAACGCCTTCAGCTGCAGGAAGTCAACCAGAGTGAGCCAGTGATTCGTCTTATCCGGGATAGGGTCACATTCGAACGCATCCCAGTTGGCGAGAAACACGTGGCCTAAAAAACAATTCGCTTTAACAAAGGAAGAGTTTCTGAAAAAATACCAAATAACGAGATATTTATCAACTTCAATTTGAAAAAAAAAATCATTTCAAAATTACGCTTCGCTCGCTAAAAAGTCAAACAGTCAAAACAAAAAATGATCGCACACAGATTTCAGTACGCTTTCAAAAAAAATGCTATGGTCAGAATTATACCACAGAGGCGCAGCTGAGCTTCGAACCACTTGCAAAACAAAAAGTGACTGACTATGATTGAAATCAAAAGCAAAAAAAAACAAGTCCCAGCAGGATTCAAACAACAAGCCTTTGCCGTCCCAAACAGTTGTGTTACACCAACGTCACATACGCCGGGTGGTTGATTGAATCTGAATTCATAAGTACCAAGGGGGAAGGGGTAACATAGACGACAATACCTGAGCAAAAACCTTTAATGCCGGAAAAAATTCGAAAAATTCTCAACTTAAAAATTTTAAGTCCCATTTCCCCTCATAACAACACATACACAAAAAACTTTTTCAGGTCGTCAAAAGAGGCGATAAGACGCTACTAACTCGATATAAAATACACCAAAAACTATAAACTTTAAAACCGAAAAAAGACGAACAAAATTGGAAAAAAAAGGTTATTTTAAGAAGTCAAGTTGGCCGGATACTAAACCTGATATTCAAAATGCTAACATGCTCACATTGTACCTGTTACAACAGAAAGGCCCAGTAGATGAAAGAGTCCATTGGATGAGTCTGTGCGCAACGTTATTTACGGGGAAAAACTAGTAGCCGATTGCAATACCCTTGCTTATCCAAACACCAAACGGATACCTTGATAACCAATACAAACAAACAGATATCAAAACCCCACCCCCAAATTTGGCACGTACTTGACTATTACAACATCAAGTTTTGACTAAACTCAATTGTTTACTTCACATCAAGTCAGTGACATCTTCTACGTTGTTTGAATATGTACTGACCAATGATATAGAGTCCACTTTTCTTCAAGTCGTTCACAAAGGAAAGCAAAGGAACGCAGCTCTTCGGGTTATTGACCAGCAACAACACTTGAGGCCTCCAAAACTTCACGTGATCTTTTCTTGGATCCAACCGTAACAAAAACTTCCTCACGACGTAGAAGCTCAAGCCCTGACTGATCGAACCCCAGCCAGTAGACGGCCCAATGATTGAGATCAAGACAATAAGTACGACCAAAATGAGTAAATTAACAGCCGCGTAGACACGCGAAATCAGAAAGATCATCGTTATACATCCGAGCATTCCGAGAAATGATATGTGCCAAGAAAAATATACCAAAGAAATAAACCATGAGGAAAAATATGGAGACCATAGGCGCCAATAAGTTAACATTGCCAATAAATAGAACTAGTTGGACTACAAATGCGGTGAAAATTACACATAAATAAGGGTTTCCACTCTTCGTAGAAAACACGGCGAAAGGCCGTGATACAACTCCAAAAACTTCATCTTTAGCAATTGCATACAATACCCTGGAGCCGCCAATCATCGCGCTTAAAGCCGCAGACATTGTAACTAAAATAGTTCCAATAAAGACTAAGGGAGGCCAGAAATTGATAGGCTGCAGGAACGTGTAGTTCATTTGGAGTAACTCTTTTGAGCAGGTAAACGCCGCTAGAATATACATAATGGCGTATACAATGAAAGTGTACAATTGGGCCAACAGAGTTCCCTTAGGAATGGAGACGGAGGGGTCTTTGAGTTCCCCGGACAGGTTAGCCCCGGCTAGGATTCCGGTGCAGCCGTTGAAAACAATTGCAAACACTTGTATGAAGTCATAGGTGTCGTGATTGGAGTAGTCGGCCGAGTAGTGGGCTCCTTTGTTCTCGTCATATGTACGGTCATGCCATCCAGTGTACCTGGTAGAAAGAACAACTAATTTAACAAAAAGAAGAAGCTGCATTACATTACACACACAAGCAAAAACTGCAAATATGAGCTCTAAAAACTCCACAGCAGATGAATACACCGGTAAAAGAATTTGTGACAGCGGGGGATTTGACCCAGTATCTTCAGTCACATAGACAAAAAGTCTGCAACTTAACCACTGCCACGTACTTAGACGTCACCCATATTTATTGACATGAAAAAGAAGCTATTATCATGCGCATAGGACCGAACACTCGAAGAAGATTCTCAATCGAAGTCCTTTAAAATGTCCAACGACTGAGTTTTTTTTTCGAAATTTGTGAATATTACGCTCTGACTGATTGACAAACATTTCGCGCATTCGTTCCTTCACGCACGAAAGTTGCTATAACCTGGCTGTTGACTGGTTGTAGAATTCGCTGCTGTCCGAGGGCAGTGCTACGTCCATGCCACCTGCAATGAAGAAGTTGACGATGACACATCCTATCACTGCATTCACAATGATGAAGATGATGAAGGTGCTCTTGGCGTAGAGGGCTCCCCCGAAGGCACAGCCAGTCAGACACAGCACCAACATGGCCGTGCTGCGAAACAAAACAGGTTTTGGCGAATACTTTACAAACTGAAAAAAATCATTCGTTAATTTTTAGCATGATTTTAGACGACAGGATACTGGCATAATTTTCTCGACAGTTTTCATAAATTTGCAGGGTTATTTCAAAGCTATCTTGCGTATTTTTTTGGTTGAGAAAATATATCATTTTGACATACAACAACTGGAGACATTTGCTTTTCCAAAGCTGCGATTCATGCGACGTGCTGAACCTTTTCGTAACTTTTTGAAATCAAATTAATCTCCTTCGCTTGCAATAAATTTTGCTATCACCATTTTAAATCCCGATGAGATTGAGGGTGTCAAGTAGACATACCTGTATAGCAGCTGGTGCCAATAGCTCTCTGGCAGAAAATTCGCCAGGGTTCCACTTTCGCTTCCAAAGGAGTCCACTATGGCCTCAGTCATGGACATCAAGTATGTACCACATGACAGTAGTTGGGAGATGAACAGAAGCACCCCTAGGGCCCCTCCGAACTCAGGGCCCAAAGTGCGACTGATCATGAAGTAGGCGCCCCCTGCCTGCACTTCGCCATTGGTTGAGATGGCACATATGGAGAGACTAGTCATCAGCACCAGAAGGTACCCTACAAGTGCAAACTGCCCATTACTCACAAACTGCATGCAATTCATGCACACAGAATGTATCAACTTGATGAAGTGTGTGCTGCTTTCAGCTTTAGGAAAACCCATTCGTCGAAAATATGAAAGACAATTAAAATGGGTTTAGAGATTACGAACACTTTAATTTATCAAGTAAAACCTAAAACCCCTGTATCATGAGATCGATAGAAATATGTTATGATAGTATGTATGACCAAGTAAGATAGTTGCCCCGCACCCCCCCCCCCAAAGTTTGAAATCACGAACCCGCAAACTTTGCAACAACCTCAAAATAAAACACAGAGGCGAAACAGAGCGTTGTACCACTTGCGTTGCAGCACAAACATAAAACATAAAGTTGAAAAAAAAACTGGATGAACCAAGATGTTTTTATGTCTCGATAAAAAACAACTAGTGGCCCAGCTAAAGCTGGAGGTAGCTGTTTGATATTTTTGGATTTTGTTATACTGATGTGGAAGGAAATGGGTCAAAATTTTAAAAATTGGAGAAAGTAAAATAAGTGAGAAGACTGAGAAATTTTAAGAAATTGAAATTTTCCTAAGGACATCTTTCTTACAAAAATAGAAAGTCACCGCTTCTGCGGGAAAATACCTTGCAACCGGTTCTTTCAATTGAGTTTTTCATCTCAGAATTGAGTGGATAGTTTCTAAGAAAATCAAAAAGTTTCTAAAAACGGTCGAAAGTTCACATACTTGACTTTCTTAAAGCCATAACGTTTTTCTGCAAAACAAAATTCGTGGTCGTTTGAGCAGAGAAAACTCCCAAAACCAAATTTCTTGATTGAAGAAGTTAATCAGTTTTCTTAGCTTAAGAATTGGCAGGGTAGTTTTCGAGTTCCAAAAAAAACGGCCAATAAATCAAAATTTGACTTTTTCGAAAATCATGCATTTTTACATACAAAAATTTTGGTGTTGCAGCCGCTTATGCTGAAGAGAAGATTCACACAACCTGTTGGTTTTGCGACTATGAGAAAAATCATAAAGAATCAAAAAACGGTCAAAAAGTCGAATACCTGACTACTCCGAGGGCCTTTCTGTGTAAAAAGTTTGAGCGTAGCCGCTTATGCAGGGGAGCTTCCAAAATTCATTCTATTCATTGAACTCAAGTCTCAAATTTGTGAAAGCAGTTTTTGACACAGAGGCGAAGCGTAGCTTCACATTACTTGCAATAGAAAAATGACTAACTATAATTACCAGCAAACGAAAAGACAAATAAAAAACGATCGCTTTTTTGTCGAAAAAAGTAACTGCAATTGCAAAAAAGTCTTGCAACAAAATTATCTGCATAAAGAGAAACTTTACAAGGGGCTTTCAAAATGCTAAAAAAAACCGAACCTTTCTGCTGCACCTAAGCCGACAAAAATTAGCAGACACGAAAAATTAACATTCGAACAACTTCAGTTTCCATAAAAAACACAGGTCCCGACTGAAATCGAACTTCTAGGATTTGTCGTCTCAAGCATGGCTTTACCTTTCCACCAAATGCATTGAACACTCTTTGAATTTAAAAAGTAAACAACTGCCAAAACTTTTAATTAACTGCATGAAACAAAACACAAAAATGCAAAACAAAAACGCAAAACTTCTTGAAACTCATTTAATTGTCCAAAACCGGAATATACTGAAATATTTTTAAATTTGAGTTAAAAAATGTCCAATTTTAGGCAAATTTCGTGCTTCGGCAACTAAGCCAACAAAAAAAAGCAGACAACCAGAAGTCCGACAAAAGTTTTTTTGACGCGCGGACAATTTTCCGCTAACAAAAAAAAACAGTTCCAGGCCGGATTATTTGCGTTAGTTCTTCGCGACATGCCCGAATTAGCGTCTGATTTAATATTAAGCAAAAGTAAAATGATTCAAGTGATTCTGTTTAACTAGTTGTTAACCCGAAAAAGTCTATATTCCGTTCGAGAACGCTTGTTAATTATAAGCGTAAGAAAAATCAAAAATATGAGTCAAATATTCCCCCAGAGAAATTTCGAACAATTTAGACAAATGGATAGAAACAAGGATAGCTGTTTATTGTGCACTGTGCAAGTAGCACAGAATGTTCCGACCAGTTTGAAAAAATTACAGCAAAATTATTTTTTCATATTAGGTTCGTTTTTTCGGCGTGGTGTGATTGAAGAATCTGAGCAAAAAAGTAGAGCTTAAGCATTTTCGTCAGTCGTTGTAACATATGCACATTATGTTACGTTATTGGACGTTATATGCACATATGCACGTTATTGGAAACCAATTTTTTAAGACAAAAAACAAGAAAAAAATCAAAAAAGTTAATTTTTTTCCTAATTTTTCCCCTTGGTTTTTGAGGTTTTCGATTCCTAAGATGAAGCTATTAACTCCAAAAACTAAGTTCATTTGAGTAAAATTAAACTTTCAAGGCCTAAATTAAGCATAAACAAGCTAATGTAAGCCTGCTCACTCTCTCGAAATTAAAAATTTCAAACCGGTTTTTCTCGACACTGGGAACACTTTTTGAAAGTTTTGAAGTCGTTCGAATCACAACTGAAAAGGCTTTAATTTGATATATCACTCAACCCAGTGCGATGAGTATTCAGGGTAGCTGACTTAGCGTGGAAAACAAAAAAAAACAAAAACACACCCGAATACAAAGTTCCTCCCCATTTTCAATGGTCGGAACAAAAACAGACTAGGGGAGTAAGCAAGCACACAGAGGAGTGTACGGTTTCCCATTGATGTATATTTATTCAAATAGAAAGAGTAGTTTTATATCTAGCTATAACTTCTGCAAACAATGAAAACAATTCGAAAGCGTCTCAAAAAAGTAAAATAAAAAAACTCTCAACCGATTTTCATATTAAATGAATTTGTCAACAGGAATTATTGAGCCTACGAAACTACACAATATAAGTTGACTCAGCCGAAACCGTTTAATCGAAAAAAAAATTAAATTTATGTGAAATCAGACTTGGTATAATGACAAATTACAGAACTTTCAATTATAGTAAAAAATATATTGAGAACCAAAATAAAATCCATGCTTTACAAAGAAGGCCGATAAAAATTAGTAATAGATCTTATAAATACCATTTAAAAAAACGGAAACTGAAACGACAGAAACTAGGCCGAAAACCACGAATCCGAAAAAATGCAATGTTTATTCAAGATATTCATTTGAAAACAAAAACAACTATTACCCGAAACGTACTCCACCTATTTACTATCTAGATGTTATTTGAATTTTCAGAAATTAAGTCTTGAAATTAATGTCTTGAAATTTACCATTCCTACAAAATAGACCATTCTGTAAACAAAGTTACTAACCGAAAAAAATCAGGTACCCGATTGCAATACCCTTGCTCATCTTTTTTTCCTAAAATTCTACGATATAATTTAAAAAGCATTTTTAATAGCAGTTTTTTTCTTAAAATCCTAAGATATAATTTAAAAATTAATTTCTCTGCCATGTATAACTTAGGGAGCCAACTGTTTTACTTGCACGTATGAGCAAAACAAGCAGAAAGTGTACTCACCGACAGACAGAATGACTAAAGCGATATAAATTCCACACTGGCCCACGGCGATTCCCACTCTGAGAAAGAGGACCAGACTGAACATGGCCAACACACAGGGCATGAACACTCCGAACAAAGTGTCCAGAGTTCTGACCGAGTCTCCGGAGGACCCGGTAGTTTGTGAGTTGGAAGCTGTTTTACGACTCAGACTGTTGGTGAGGAAATTAAATGAGGCAATGCCATTGTTCGTCCTCCCACTTCCACTTCCCCCGCGGTGGAGAAGATCCCCGCGTAAGTCCATGTACTCCTCACTGCTCCCTTCCCACAGAGGAATTTCAGCGTCGTTATTTCCTAAATTTGACAACCAGAACTCCATTTTTTATAGCAAAGCTGTAAAGACTGACATCAGTAACCCGTTCCCTAAGGTGCCCTCGCCGTCAATATACACTGACTTGAATGTCCTAGCGTTTTGGGAGTACTTAAAACTTTATTAGTTAGACCACCCTAAAAATATGGTCGACCAAAAAAAATAGTCAACAAATTTTTCGACAAATTTGAATAACACAAACCATAGTCATCGGTCACGTGAGTGTTGCGATCGAACGGCATGGTTGTCGTGTCGTCTGGTGTACCATCTGTCATTCGTTCGTACGTAGATGGAGTAGATTGAATGTTGCCACCCATTATAAGGATAACAACACTAACACATCCAGTACATTCACAAGTCGCAAGTAAAACAGTTCTACTCGACCACTATCTGTCTTGTTACAGGCTGCTGAAACAATTACGCCTATTTGAATACTTTCTTAACAGCTTTGTTGAAGCACGCAATCTACACATTAACCAGAATACGGTCAACTAAACATACTTGCATTTAGTTAAAGTAGAAGTAAACAGAAGCAGAAATACGCTTCTGGTCTCTCATGAACCGAAAATGGCCATCAAGTTGAACAAAATTTTTCATGTTTTCAGTACAAAAAAAATGCAATGGTGTGTATGAGATGAGAAAATGCATATGCATAAAATCAGAGACAAACTTCAGATTTCCAAACACTAATTTTATAGAACGCCTTTCTAACACACTTAAAACTGTTTTTTCTCTATGTTCGTTCGCACCTGTGTTTTTAACAAATTTGACCCAAGCTGACTCTCAAATTGCATTCCAGAGCTTGGATGTGTAGCTTACCCAATAAATAGCCATGGATATTATCTGAATGTCTAAGAGACCAGAAAAAAGTAAGCGTGTTCAAACAAGACTTCCCCAAATTTACAACTGCTAAGTTAAGTTTCAAGCTAAACCTAATTCAAAATACCCCTCGATTTACATGTTTGGCGAACACAACAAAATTAACAGCAGCAAGCATCCGCAGAGCAAAAGTATATTCGATTTTCTTTGGAAGTTTAATCGATAAAGTACAGCACATTGAATCTATTTGCTTTACAAGAAATTTCATAATTGACGCTTTTTGCACACAGAAGCGAAGCTGAGCTTCGCACCACTTGCAATACACAATAAAGCTTCAAAATTCAAAAGACTGTGCCTTAACGAAAATTGAAAAACATGAAAGAATTTTTTTGAAATCGTAGGCTCAAAAACCATTGCAATTCTTATAGAAGTCAATTACCATAAAAAAAAAGATGGATTTGGACTTAACTTCTTCTTCTCTTTTCTAAAAAATTGATGAAAACGATGAGAAACATTTCGGTCAAAAAATTGATATACGATAACTCCTAAGTGTACTCAAAAACTGTACAATAGATCTTGCAACCAAACAACCTGCATACCCAATAAGAACAATCGGGGATAAAGGCCATATCCACTATAGAGTAAGATGACAATGAAGAAAACGAAAAACTAAATTTCAAAAACATGAATGCAAAAATTAATAACAATTGCCACAAAAAAACTGGTAGAAAATCTGAAAATACTCTGAAAGCTTATGAAAATAATGCAAAATCATCAAGAATTATCAGTTATGCAATTTATACACAACGGTAAAAGAGCTAAATCACAACAAAAAAAAACATGAAAAATTTTTCAAAAACTTCAGCCAGAAGGAACCACACGCCTCAGTATCCTGCAGAAGTTGCCGCCACTTTCCTTTGTAGACAAAAAAGTCGAATCTAATAAGCAAAAAAAATTTGGAGAACTACCAATTATTTTGATTTTTTTTGTGACAAATTGAAACAATACGTTTCACCATCATTTTCAATCGATTTCAAATAAAATTGCTTAAACCTAAAACACACCTTACTAACTAAAAGTAAAACTAGTTTCACACACTTTAAGAACAAAAAACAATCAGACACTATTCATCCGAAAAAAAACTGAAATTTATTTGAAAAAATCTAGCAGAAATTCAAAAAAAAAATTATTTCTAAGAAAAAATTTTGGCACCTATAGAAACCAGGAAACCATAATCTAGTTTAAACCTCACGAAGAAGAAAAGAAAGTATCAAAAAATCTACCAATAAATTACAGAATTAATAACTCGACAAGTAAGCCGACAAAAACTGGGTCGAAGTCAAAAAGCCGACAAAAAAATCAACTTACATCTAAAATTCTTTTTCAGCTGTAAAACAGTTAACACTTTAGAAATATAGAAACATTTGTAGAACGCCAGATTTTAGTCATCCTGTGGACAAAGTTTTTTACGTGAAAAAAGTCTAGTACCCGATTGCAATATCCTTGCGCAAGGGTAAAAAAAGTGAACTATTTTGAAAATAATCCGATGAGAATTTTGACAACTAGCAAAAACTTCTGAAACTTAATTTGAAGCTTAATATTTTTGCGCCAATTTCATATGTTATGTAGGAGAGCGTTATTCGCGTTCCATTTAGCAAAGGAATGGAGCTTGAAAGAAAACTAACGTCAAACAGTCAAATTGTTTAACTTAGCAATAAATTCTGTCATGTTTTTTTCAGCAAAATTTCGTATCATTTCATTTGAAAACTCATTTCTTGATTTCTTCATTTGCACCGAAACATCGATGAAAAATTCTTTAACTCTGCATGCAAAGACACAGCTCTTCAAAAACTGTCAATCTCAGAACTCTCAAGAAATTTCAGTTTATGCAAGAAAGACTAGCGCCAATTGCAAACGAGTTCAGTCGGTAGCTGTTCAAGTAAAGTAGCACAGAATGTCCTGATCAGAGAAAACAGAGCTAATCATTGAATTTGTTAAAATTCAATAATAAAGCAAGTAAGAAAAACAAGTAAGATTTGTACGAAAAATTGTTTACGGGAATAAAGTTTAGTTCCCGATTATAAGATACTTGCAAATGTAAAAGAAAAAAAGGTTAAAATAGGCCTTGAAAAATAATATCTGCAATTTGCCGGAATTGAAACTCTAGCCTCGAAATTAACAGTCACTTGTCCTCGCATCTGAGCCATTGCCGCTTGATAATCGTCAAGCACTAGCCAACTTTAAACTAGATACAAAAGATGCTCTTTAATTTCCGATGCTATGCAGCAAAATTGCCAACAATTGAACACTTTTATTTACTACTTGAACGATAAATAAATCGATTCATAACATAACTCTACGCTCGATTGTGTAAAAATAACGGAAATATTAAATGCAGACACGCTTAATTCACATCTGCTGACCACATATGTCTGTTGGCAAAAAAATGCAGTGAGTTTTTTTGAATGTTCCCATTTGCTAACGCTTACTTATTGCAAGCGTAATGATTTGAAAAAGGCTTAAGTGTTCTCAGAAACATCAGTTGTTACAAAACATGAAAAAAAAATCTTCGAAAACCAAATTAACTAAATTATACAATCATAAATACTCCTCAAATTTAAAGTTCAGATTATCTTATCGAAAATAAGGTTTGATGACCATGACTTATCATCCGATTACCCTATAAACTTTCTGTTTAGCAAATAAAAGAAGAAGCACACAACCGAAATGAGTAAAATTTCTCGTTGAATATCGAAAACCTTCTAGAGAGACCAGAAAGTCTTTATATGGCATAGCATCAAATGCTCAAATGAAAATCAAGGCGACACAATGCAAAAAAAACCTATTCGACACAGAGACGAAGCGGAACTCGCACCACATGCGATACAAAAACTTGAGCCCAAAATGAAGCGTAAAAACAGCGACATGTTTTGTATTTTTTGAGAGATCAAAAAAATGCAAAAAGTACGTACGATGTAGCTTTATTCTAGCACTCATGATTCATAAAGGCTTAAAAACTTAAGCCAGGCGTGTGAAACATTTGTTAAGTAGAACATAGCCGATCGAAGATTGGTAAATAGTAATGAACGCAATAAAAAAATAGTAATAGTAAAATAGTAATAAACATAAAAAAATAAGAAAAAATAGATGCCCTTTGAGCTCCTTGACTTTCTAGAACAGTTTATGATTGGCACTTTTTTGAAAACATGAACCCAACTTGAGAAAACTGGAACTCATGGATTTTTTGATTGTTGACTATTGATTTTTGCTGAACCGAGGTGTCAAATGAAAAATGAATTCACTGTGAATCAAGATACCAAATAATTCAAGTGCTTTTGTTAAACTAGTTGTTTACCCGGAAAAATCTATATTCCGATTCGACAACGTTTGCTAATCACAAGAGTAAGCAAGGTGAGATTGTACAATTGAGAGCGAAATAACATTGGGTTGAGCTTTTGTTTCCTGGCAAAAGGTTTTGCCAAAAGTGAGAGGTGGATTGATTTACAGAACCCAAACATAGCCAACGGATTGTTGGTAAAGAGTCAAGGAACGCAAATAAATAAAAAAAAACTGACGTGTTTTTTTTTGAAAAAACCAAATTCGCCTTTTCAAACCAAAAAAATATATGGCCTTAAAGGTACTTGCATTTCAAGAGCAATTTAGCACTGGCACTTTTTTGATAAAATTAACCCAATTTAAGAAAACAGGACTATTAGGAAAATTTTTCATTCCGCTGGGAAATCTAAAAATTAAATTCCACATTCGAAGCTAGAAATCAATCAAGTTTTTCGTGTCATTTCAGCTTTCATAATTGGTGAGTGCATGCATTTTGCCTACCTTCAGCAATTGAACTTGAATTGAACTCAAATAGTGCATATATAACCGAGTGCATACATTTGTGCAATTATAAGTGTGAATGCAATTCTTTTGATATTAGAGACTAAGACTTTTCCTGGCAAGAAAAAAAATCAAAAAAATCATCACGACATGTAGAAGAGTCTGAACTACATTCATCGACTCTTCAACAACCAAAAAAAAATTACACAGAGGTGAAGCTTCACTTTGCAAGCACTAGCGAGAACATGACAAAACGCACCTCTGGAGCTCAAAAAATTGAAATAAGAAAAGTATAAATAAGCCTCGAATTAGTAAAAATTCTGCGAAATCTAGGACTCGACCCCAAGACCTACTGCGACCTAGAAATTATGAGTCTCACGAACTAAACACTCATCCACTGACGCTTAGTCCATCACATGCTATGAAATTTCCAATGCTACAGATCGTGACTATAGCAAAAAGACACACAAGTGAACACTTTTATTTGCGAGTTAGGTTAGAAAAATAGAAGGTTCGTAATAAAAAAACTAGCTGCTCGCTAGCGTAAATAGAGGAATTTCTGTAATCAGAAGAAAACTAACATCAACTCACCTAACAAATTTCTTCAACCAAACAGTTTATCAAGAAACATGCGAATAATTGCTAAATAAGTTTAATTCAACAAACAACTCTCCTGTCATAAGTTCAGCTCAATTAAACTCAATACTTGCCAATTCTAACGTATTGCCATGATTTATGAACTATCAGTTTGTTGAACTGAAATTGCTGAAGACAATTGACAATTAATTCTTTCTATTCAAAGGTTGCAATATGGCAGCTATATTCGGTTGAATTTGAAGAAACTCGAGGCAACACAATGACTACTTCTCAATTTTACTCATCTTGAGGTTCTCCTAGATTTATTGATTAAGCACAAGTTTGTAATTTCAAAACATCTTTTTTAACCACTAACCAGGTAGCGAAAAACAACTTGTACTCAATAAAAGCTCGTACCAATCAGACGAATACTAGAAAACAGACAGGCCAGTAAGAAGACAGTTTTTTGAATAAATATTTATCTTTTGTCACGCAAAAATCAAAATATCAATTACAAGACAATTAACCAATTTTCTTATATAAAAACGATCTCAGATTCCCCGTAGTAATTCCTGGACTATATCAAATGAGTAATTTTATTTTAAGAAGTTATTTCAGATACCAAAAGAAAAGCTAAAATTTCAGCTTGAAAACATCGCCAATTTCTAATGAATATAATAGCATCAGAGTTAAAACATGTCAAACTTGTCTGCCAACTAAATGTAATTCAATGGATGTTCTCTGGTTGCTGACCGTGCACCTTCACTAGCATGGAAAACATTATTCAAAATCAGACTTGGTAAAATGACAAACTAAAGAACTTTCAATTATAGCAAAAAAAAATAATCAAATTAAAATCCATGCTTTACAAAATCGGCAAAAAAATAGTGCCAGAAAATATAAACGATTTTTTGAAAAGATGGCCGACAAACAGTTGGATAAGAGTCAAGAAACTCAAGTAAACAGAAAAAAAATTATTTGAGAAAAAAATTACTGACCGAAACGTAATATACCTATTAAGTCTTAGATGAGGTAGTTTTATTTATTTTTCAGGAAATTGGACATTTCTTGAAATTTATGATTCTTACAAAAAATGACAAAGGTTAAACAAAGGTATTTATTATGTAAACAAAGGTATTTACGGGAAAAAATTAAGTACTCAATTGCAATAACCTTGCTTATCGCAAGGGTGAAAAAGAAAATTTCAAAAAAATTATCAATCAAACTGAATAAGGCTAGCTTTGATACAAATCATGCCAAGACAATAGAACGCGAAATTAGCATCAAAGAAAATTACCGAGCGGTAAAAAAAAAAGCCAAAAAAACCTTGTCGGAAACCCTTTAAGCCGAAAAGAAATTCAACAAGAATGAAGACTTGTAAAAATTATTAAGTCGCCCTCAAAATGCACACACACATATATACACCATCTTTTCTCTCATCAAATTAATCGGCCAGTAAAATATGAGCAGAAACCTATTTATCCGAAAAAAGGATAAAAAACAAAATAAATGTCGAAATAATATATCTATCAAACTGATTAAGGCTAGTTTTGAAACAAATCATGCCAAGACAATAGAATGAGAAATTAGCATCAGAAAAATTACCGAGCGGTAAAAAAAAAGCAGAAAATACCTTGTCGGGAACCCTTTAAGCCGAAAAGAAAGTCAAGAAGACTGAAAATTTATAAAAAAAAAGTTATTAAGTCCCCCTCATCCTCAAACACACACACGCGCGAAAACTTATTCGCTCATTAAACGAAACAATTTATGCTAGTAAACCGATAAAACATGGACAGAAAGCTATAAAGCTGAAAAAAAGGGATAAAAAAACAAAATAAGACAACTAAAAAATATCAAAATAATTTATCTATCAAAATCAATAAGGCTAGTTTTGAAACTAATCATGCCAAGACAATAGAATATGAAAATTGCATCAGAAAAACAATGGCCGAGAGGCAAAAAAGCCGAAATTTTTTCGGAAACCGTTCAAGCCGAAAAGAAATTCAACAAGACTGAAGATTTACAAAAAGTTATTAAGTCCCTCTGCCGACAAATCTTGAGCAACCAAACGTAAATCCGACTATCGAATTTTTACCAGAAAAACCCTTTACAGCGATTAAATTTCAAGACTTTCCCATTCCTCCCTCCAGCCTAGTAATAAAAAATGTAGCCTCAGTACATTGTGATTTTAATACTATGGGGAGGAGCTTCAATTTTCTGGGGGTGTGCGCTAAAATGGGAAAGACTGAAAAAAGCAAAAGAAGTAAATATTTCGTTCATTGAAACTTAAAAAGCAAGGATAGCCGGATGAAAAACGAGCAAAAATGTTATACAAGTAGCAAAAAAGCAAAAAATTTTAGAAATAAACTAGAAACGTAACAAAAAATACGCAGCAGAGCAAAGCCGATAACCTTAGAGCAGAATAAAAACTGTTTTCATAAAAAGCCTTTAGAGTTTTGGGTCCCCTAAAACTACAATGAACAACGCTTGCAACGACAAGGAAATTTGCTTGCAGCGCAAGAAAATCTATGATGTGGCACCTAAGCCGACAAAACTTGAGCAGACTAACGAAAGTTAGACAATTCAATTTTACCTTGAAAAAAATATATATCATTTATACTGAAAAAAAGGTGTGGCCGGGACTCAAACCACAATTTTAGAATGTGAAGGCGATTAATTTACCTCCCGACCAAGTGAAAAGGAACCTGGCAGCTGTTTGATAGAAAAAATCTAGTTCCTGATTACATGATACTTGCTGTATTGAGTGTAATTATGTGCCAAAATAGAACACCCGACCGGGAGTTTCAGTATCTCGCGTCCTCGCATCAGCGCCAATGACAGTTGTCAATCTGCAACGAAAAAAGCAGGTACCGCAGATGCTATTAAACAGCCAAAACTATGCAGCAAAAAGGCCACCACATGAACACTTTTGTTTGCGAGATGGGCTGTAAAAAATGAAGATTCGTAAAATAAAATTATACTAACAAGTTTGTGCAATATTTAATTTTACTTGGGTACCACTAAGTTTGTACGGCTTAAATAAAAGCTTACTCTTCTATTATGAGCCTGCTCGCTCAGTTTATTTGCTTGAAATTGAACTCGAAATTAAAAATTACAAACCTATTATCTCATCACTGAAACAACTTTTATGAATTTCATTAGCAGAGTTTTTTTTAATCACGAACAACTTTGTTCCAAAATACTGCATCAAAACTTCGTCTTACCTGGCACTGTTTTGCTCCTTCTCCACCGAGAAATGAAAAGAAGCAAGAATTTCAGCAGGTATAACAATACCTTCACAAGTTTTAATCACTACATCACTCTAAAAGTTTTGATTCCTAATAAATATTCAACACAACGCCATAGCCTAGCAGCTGAAGCTGTTCTGCAGTAAAATAATAAACAGAGAAGCCGAGCTTTTCACAACTTGCCAAACAAAAATGGATCACTATGATTTACACCAATGAAAAGACATCCAAAAATTTAAAATAAAACTAGTCTAAATAATTGTTTTAAATAAAATTAGCCTAATTGTTGTGATAAACTTAATAAATAATTTTCATAAAATGGCATGCTGAAGTCTTGATATCACAACATGGCTAAGACACGGACAATTAAACCCTGTGGCCGTATCGGATCACAGCGCTCAGAAGCTTGTTTTTGTGGAAACCCAGGCGATCCTGGCTTCATGGTGGGATGTGACGCGTGGGACTCCAGGTTTCATGGAAAATGTGCCAACTTGAAAAGCAAAGAGGAAGCAGATGCTCTGGATTTCTACAGATGTGGCTCTTGTCAGACCGCAAACATACTCATCAGAAAGTGCAGATTGTGCAAAGATTTGGTGAAGCTCACACAACAAGGACTAATACGGGTGCACCGCCCCAACGGAACCAAATGTCCAAACAGCGGCACTGCAGATTACGACTTAGAAAAAATAGATACTCAACCACAGTACTTGAAACTCTTGTACACTTTCTGCTCCAGTAGACTTAATTGCCTCAAACGAGTTCCTAAAGCTTCACGAAACCACTTAGCTGAGTTTTTTTTGATTTGTTTGATAAAATTTGCGTGCAGCCGGATAATTTGTCACTTTGGTGCAGATTATTTACTCTTATTGGCAATTGTCTTTCTGTTCCTAAAAAAGACAACAACGATAGTCAGTCACTAGCGTCCGAGGTCAACGAGCGGATTCGACTTTTCCAGTCAGGTCAAGTAACAGCTCAACCACAAGACAGGAAAAAGGCTCGGAAAGCGACGCACTCGCAAACCCCGTCCGACGAAATGAGTAAACGCGTCTCCCGTAAGATAGAAGCTTTCGACATCAAAGGTGCCATCCGCGTAGCTTCCTCTGACGAACAAATGGCTGACGCCAGTGATGTCTCTGTAGTGAACGAGCTCAAAGAGAAACACCCGCCGCGCTCTTTCTGCGACATCAATAACCCTCTGCCAGCCAATGAATCGCCAGTAACCTGCCACCCATCTGATGTCCGCGACGCCATTCAGTCTTTCCCTTTTGGTTCTGCAGCTGGACCCGACCGAGTCACTCCTCAGATCTTGAAAGACTTGATAAGCCAACGTGGAGAAGCGTCCGAGCCTTTTTTAGTTAGCCTCTCTTCCTTCATCAATATTCTGCTAGCAGTCAAAGTTTCGGATTCTGTCCGTCCGTTCTTGTTCGGAGCCACTTTGTTTGCCTCATCGAAAAAATCTGGAGGGGTCCGTCCCATAGCAGTAGGAAAAGTCTTTCGCAGGTTAGCTTCGTTGTGTGGAGGTCGCAGCTACGCTAGCGCAAGGAAGACGTCTTATGGCACTCGTCAGTTGGGATACGGCACACCCAGAGGAGCAGAAGCTGCCGTCCATGCTACGCGTCAGTTTTTACACGACAACTCGGATAGCACCGGCAAAGTCATATTGAAGATCGACTTAAAGAACGCCTTTCACACGGTTTCGCGCGGAAAGTTCTTGTCTTTTGTCCAGGAGCGTTACCCAGGTCTATACCCGTACACACACCGCTTATGGCTCCGCGTCACACCTCTTCTTTGGTCAGTCTGTTTTGTCATCCGATGAAGGTGGTCAACAGGGAGACCCAGAGGCCCCGCCATTATTCTGTGACAGAGTTAACGAAATCACCAAGAAAGTCTTAGCGACTTCACGATCAAATGTCCGAGAGTGCCGCATTGGGTGTGAGCTCTACTTCTTGGGCAACTCTTCTGAGGAACAAAAGTCTTTTATTCTTTCTGAATTCAATAAAGTCTCTCCATTTATAAAGACACCTGGTGTTGAAAACTTGGTCATCTTTGGGGCGCCTGTTGGTGACACTGCGCTAGTTCAAGCCCTGAATGAGAAAATAGCTCATCTAGAACGTCTCTGCTCGCGTCTGAAGAACCATGAGGCTCATCATGCTCTCTTTCTCCTTATGAGCTCTTTCTCTATCCCGAAACTGTTATATATTCTACGTACCTCGCCTTGTTTCAGACATCCAGATCTGCTAGCTAAGTAGATGGCATTTTTTACTCCAGCCTTGAAACCATCTGCAACATCAAACTTGATCCAAGTGCCCGCAAGCAAACATCTTTCCCCGCTGCCATGAGTGGTTTAGGTATCGGCTCTGCGTCGGCTCTAGCGATTTGTGGGTATCTGTCATCTGTCGGTAGTTCCTCGCAGCTTTGTTCTGCAATTCTTGGGAAGCCTTTCTCCGACCCGCACTACACTGAAGGTCTTTCATCTTTCATTATGGCACCAGTTGTCTAGTCTGGACTCGCCAACCCCAGGTCGTTTCCAGAAATCGTGGTCAGGTCCCGTGTACAGGAAGCTGTTCCATGATCTCCTGACTGAAGCGACTGAAGAGAAAACACGCAAAAGTCTGAAATCTTTTGAAGGCAAGATCCAGTCTGCTTGGTTAACAGCGTTCCCGTCTAGCTCGTTAGGTCTCAAATTGTCCAACGTCCAGCTTCGAATCTCGCTAGCACTACGGCTTGGTGTCAACTTATGTGAGACGCATGTTTGTCGTTGTGGCGAGCCAGTTGAAGCTTCCGCAGGGCATGGTGTTTCGTGCAGAAAAAGCGCCGGCTGATTTGTGCGCCACACGATGATAAACGACATTGTAAAGCGAGCACTGGGATCTAGTAATATTCAGTCGATTCTTGAGCCCCCTGGCCTCTGTACTGCAGATCAGAAACGTCCAGATGGCCTTATCTCCTTACCTTGGTGCCCTGGGAGAGAGGGCAGTCCCTCATATGGGATGCGACCGTTATTGACGCCTTGGTCATCTCCCTTCTCGGCCGCCGCTGAAGACGAAGCTCGTAAGACCTCCAATTACAATGAATTAATCAACAGAGGCTACATCTTCGCCCCAGTCGCTTTCGGGGTTCAGGGTGGGTGCGGACCAAAAACATCCAAGTTCATCAAGAAACTCGGTGAGAAATTGAAAGAAACCACTCAAGATCCAAAATCCGCCTTCTACATGAAACAAAGAATTTCCATCGTCATCCATATCGGGAATGCCGCGTCCGTCTTGGGGACCTTGGGAGAGAGTGACGCCCTAGGACAAGTTTTTTACCTGCTACATTAGACGTTCTCTATTGGTGCTAAGTTCCACATCCATCGGTGCTAGTTAATTATTGCTTATACTAGAAACAGTTATCTTCTAAGATTCCGGCTCCATTTTATTATGTGAATAGTTTTAATGCAGTAGATTTTATACCGCTTGTACAGAAAAGCTCTTTTTATAAAAAAAAATATATTACAAAAGGGGCACTTCCGTTTAGTTACGGTAAGTGCACAAGCTGGATAGGGCCATACCAGCGATATAAAAATGCATATATATCAGCAATGAAGTCATAAATCAGCATTAAATGAATCGTCGTAATGTTAACTTATCTTAGCCGTCCTTCCTCTACAATAGCGCTTATGGAGTTGTCGATAAATTGAACTTTGCGTAGCGATCTGCACCCCCTTATACAAAGTATAGAGCTCCTCAGGAGCGCAAAGCTTATTTTAGTTCTTATGTAGTTTGTAGATTCTGGATAGCTTTCTTGTCTTTTTTCACTTAGTTTTTCGGCCAATCGCTGCATCGTCCGCGTGGCTGTTGGAGCAGCGCCACAGGTGCATCCAAAAATTAGCGGGCAGAAGCTACTCTGCTCTACGTTTAAAATTCTTTGCTGATCTTTGGAGTTCTTCAGCGTTTCGTGGTATTTGTATGCATCCTTATGCAGTTTTCGCGATGTTTTGGCATGAGGGTTGAAAATTTTCACATCAAAGAAAGCGCGGCTGAATTGTGAACCCCAGAGTCCGTTTGCCTTAATGTCAAGTCGTGCCTCATCTTCAGTTGTAGTTTAATTGTTGACAAAGCTTTCGCCTTGCAACGGCTGAAGTTTCGGCTCAATCTCGACGTCATAGCAAACCTCGTTCATGAGGTTGGCGATTGTGTCTCTAATTTCATTGTGTCTTATGTGTGTGTAACCACCCTTTGCACAGTGAAGGGCATGTGTCAAGTTAAAATCAGCACCATATGCACTTTTGAGTGGGGTTTTGGTTGGTTCCCATCCGTATCTTAAGTAAATACCATCTCTGAACTCTGATTTATTCACAGGTTGAAGTTGTATCTGCTCAGTGGTAGAGCATTCAGCCAGTAAGAGGCTCCCTTTTCAGAGGCCAAGACGATTGCGTATTTATCTGTTTCATTTAAGGAGTTAATGAGGTTTGTTTTTTTTCGATTCGTTCTATCAGTTTTCAATTTTTTGATTTTCGTACATATTTTTTCTTGCTGTGTTACTGCTGTAATAGGATCTTGAGATTCCAGTACTAGTGATGTTTCCTTAGACTATTCTAGGTAGCTTTCATGATCGGATGGCAGCTTGATGTTAAGTCCGCCCATTTTAAGGGGTAAAGAAGATATCTCAGGGAACTGGGGGTTTAAGGTGTCTTTACCGAATATGTTAGGTAATAATTGTTCTTTGATAATATTTTCACATATTTCTAAGTATTCCATAGTGTTAGGCGTTGTCCTGGCAAGAAATGAAAGCTTTTCTTGAACTCTTTTAGTATAGCAGACATAAACGTTTTGAGGGGAGGTTTTAGCGATTTTCGTTAGTTTTTTTCAAAAGTTTGATTTGCTCATTCTGTTGAAATTCGAGGAACTTTTCAGATTCTGTTCCTTTAACTGAACCAAGCACTCGGGCTCCTGCCTTTATAGTGATTCCTGTATCTGCGAAGATTTTCTGAGCTTCACCGAGTTTTTCATCCTTGACAATGAGTTGGCATTTGGATGCTTTCACGTGGTAGCTGAAAAATTTACCCAGTGATACAATTTTATCGAGGACGGTTCGT